CACTTATATTTTAAATAACAAGGAATTTCAAGACCGTGATCTATTCTGATGACCCCCTGAACTGAGAATGCATCTTTAACAGGTTTGAATTTTATCAATCCGAAGAGGCAGTGTAGCAAATTGCAAGACTAACACTGTCCCTCCCTTGCCTCCTTCAAAGCACGTCTCAACACTCTCCTCCTCGACCCCTCCTACCCCTACCCTCCTTGCCCTCCACCCCTGATCCCAACCCCCTGCTTGTGTCCACATCCCTGACTATCCAGCGTCTCGGGCCGTCCTCCTGACGTGAAAGATGGTTTACAAATGTAAGTTGTTGTTGTTCATCCGTATTCTTAATCTAGCGTTTACTGCTAGTATTATTGTGGTGTGCCTGGGAGTTTCTGGCTGATTGCTCTCCATGTGGAGGTTTCCATCAAATTCGTTCTTGACCAATGCCCATATCTAGAGAGGTGTTTTGCAGTATTGCAAGTAGATTGAAAATTGTGGAAACATAATAAATATTTTTGGTTTGTAATTGTAAGATATAAAGCAATGATGTACGAGATATATAGAACCTCATCCTCATTTTTAATCACTTAAAGGAACAGTGTGCCAGAGACAGAATTTGTTGTTGAACTTCACTGTTTTCAGCTACCTACAGTTTGCTGTTGTCCCTCGCCAATCTGCGCCTAATACTCTCTTAGGTAGATATGAGTTTCATGTATGAAAGATGAAGTGCGCATTCCATTCAAGACATTAAAATTTCCATGTGTAGCTGTCATACATGAAACTCTTTCTGGTTTGGAGACTCTTAAACATGGTGATGAGTTTCTGCAAGTGTCAGACACCTGCCTGACCAAAGAGAAAGTTTACTGTTCAGCTCATTATATGGGGTAATAAATGAGTTTGTGGTTGCGTTTTTCGCTACCTATACAACCGAAGGTGAGACCAGCTGAGTAAAAATGTGCTGCTCTATTTGTTTCTAATTTGTTTTCTTGCACCTGCAGCAGCAGTCCCTTTGGTTAATGACTTGTATCTTTATATCAGCTCTCTCACATTGTCCATCCCAATTAACTCCTTCCAGCCATCTTGCGCTACTGCTGTATCAATGTGCTCAAATGTTAAATATTTAGCTATTAAAATAGCAACAAAAAAAGCAGAATGAGGGTGTTGGAGAACAATAAGAAATGTGAATGAGATTTCTTTGTAATATCTTCATTTACTCAGTGTAGATACTGATCGTGTCTATAGTTTTCTGCATGTGAATAAGTAACTTTGTGTGCTGTTATATCCTATGCACTTTAGATTATGACTCCAAAACATAATTTAAAATAACTAATTGCACATCAGAATCTGTTAAGAAAATATTTACAAGACTTTCACTGGGGTATAGGAAGGTTTGCTGGAGTAACATTTATAGTTCATTTGTTTCAGAAAGTTTTTAATGCTAATAATAGTTATTAATCAGACAACAAACATCTTGTTCCTGTAAGCAGAGTAAATACTGAATAATCTGAAGTTACTATAAAACACCATTTAATTCAATAAAACAGTCGAATAGCTCTGTTATAAAGATTGAATGCGGTTTTGTTAAGAGTTTTGAATTTGTGGTTACTTTAACTTTGAACACAAATTGTCTCAGTGTTAGACGTTAAAACTGATGATCTTTTATTACGATTCTGATCTAAGGAACCAATTTGTTGTTCAAACTCAATTTTGCACAAAATGAATTGTGAATAAAAGTGACTCATTGGTAGTTATGGTGTACAGTTATGTTGTTCCTCATGTCAGCTCTCCATGTCTAAATTGTATGACAGGACAAGGCAGCAGATGAGACAAGCTGTCGCTCAGCCATTCTGGCCTTTTGAAGGGAGGCCATGGGAGGAAAAGGTGCTGCAAATAGGCTGTGAAGTTTACATACACTGCCCACTGTTAAACAGATTACCTCTAATGAAGTGTCTAATGCTCAGCCTGCATCAGCCTAATCCTAGGTGGCAGTTTGTCCCTCAGCTGCCAAGAACCACCACCCTCTGGCCTTATATCACCAATGTCTTCACAGTGCACTGGGAGGTGCCTGGCTTTAATAAACCAAGACAGTGTGTGATCTGACATGCAAATGTAGGTCATTGCATATGTAAATGTGTGATTACAGACCTGCATGCCAGAACACATTAGTGAGACTTTGCTCTCAGCATGTGGTTGTCATAGTTCCTCAAAAGCTGATGCTAACATTTGTCAAGTTATCACATACGCCAAAAAAAGCATAGTGCTGAAATGTGGTCTATTTAATGAACCTGTAATTCATGAATTCAGAAATATTTACAACAAATATACACCATGCTGTTTTAAACTCCCATGTTTTATGTTTAGTTCTAGCACTGCATATACTATTACTGTCAACTACATTCTGATAATTGATGGGCAGTAATTGTGGCTGTTCACATCAGAAATGTTTTCCCTCCCCCACTCTTTGCCTTTCTGCCTCTATTTTCTTTGTTCTTTTATTCTGATTGCAGTATTCAGAGCTGTCAATCATTCACAATCGTGCATGCTGTCTGTATGCAAAGAATAATTTATATGTATGAATGTTGCTCGGTTGCACCCCACACTGACTCAATTTTAACTCAAAATATAAATATTTTGCATTATTGTGTACTTTATTTTCTCATAATCAGGATGTAAAGTTCCTTTGTACGTTGTCGATGCTTATTTAGTTGTCCCAGTTAATGTTTAACATTCATGATGGGGTAGAGATCGCAGCTGAGCCCATGGCAATATGTATAATACCTCACCCTTGAAATTATTTATTCAGGAATTACAGTTTCAGGATTTTCTTTAGAGGCACAGTTGGGAAAAGGAGAAGGCATCCACATTTGAGTCTATTGGTGTGTTTTTATGTCAAATTCCTGACTAGCACAGCAAATCTTGGGTAGCAGAAGTATGTGAATCTTGAGCAGCAGCTTTTATTGTTGGAAATGTCTCTGGCTTCTAATTGGATTGCCAGTTTTTTTTACCATTGAGTAATAGTGTATTTTTAAACTTCTTTGTATCCCCCTCCCTGTCCAAGTTCCACAAAAAAAACACAACTACCTGGTCTCCATCATCCTTCAGTAGAGAAGTACACAGAAGAGGTTTCAAGCAGATTGGCATCTACATTCTAGACCCAAGTTTGTTCACGACCTGGGGAGAAATTAATTATTGGGGGAATTTACCTCCAAATAATTGAACAAAGGAATAATTTGGCCACATTCTTGTCAACTGTTTTAATATTTTTAATGAGTGATTGTATTTGCACAACGTCTACTCTCTGTCTCACAAATCCAAATGAATGTTTTAAGTGTTAAAGAAGCACAAATTAAACACTAGGATGCATATTCTACAGTTTTCCAGTTTAGCTTATTTTCCAGAACCAGACAATTCTTGAAATGGGAGTTGTAGTGAAATTGAAAGCATGTTTTTGTAAATTCAGTTTAAAATCAAGGTGTTAAATGGGAGAATACTGTATCTGTCAAAAAACATTAATCTTTTTACTGAGGTTTCTTTGTGACATATGTTTTCTGTCGGGCAGCATTTCTAAAAGTCACTCTGTAATTTTTTTTATTGTAGCCTACTACAAAGATTTAGCAAATTGCACACGTCTTTCTTTTTTTCATTGAAGTACTGTATTAACTGAGTTATATTTTGTGGAATAAAATGTGATTACAATTAGCAAAGAGTTAAGTAAATACATTAAGTAAGGCCTAAACATTGAAGTTGAATATTTATTGCAAAAGGTTTCTGGCATTTCCTTTAGGTTAGTTAGAGTTCCTAATTTCAAGATTGGAGGGAGCAGAGAGGGGAAAGCGAGATTGAAATGAACTGATTAGTGTCTGGATCCAAGGCTTGCTGGAGAAGAGAAAACTATGACGTTGGCACAGTTTGAGACAGGAAGATAGATCTGTAGGAGATTGAAGTAAGAAATAAAAATATAGTACTGGAGGTGCAAATAGATTTTAAACGTTGTACATTCATTGAGGCAATTGTTTAATATTCTTAGTGTGTTTTTTTTAATTAAAGCATTGCTATTCTATTAGATAATGAAGAGTTGATTCAGCATAAAACCTGAGAAAATCAATTTCTCTGATGACTGATTGAGTGAAGTCCTGGTCTAGTGCAGTGCTGGATAATGCTAACCAAAAGGTTCAGATTCCTATTCGGTGTTGAGCTTGCAGCACTTGGCGAATTCAGCATTTGGAGCACTACAAAATATACGGTCAATTCACTTTGCAGTATATTCTGTGACGTGCTTTGAGACGTTTCGAAGATGTGATAAGGCGCAATAATAAATTCAAGGATTATTATTATTACTCCAATTTCCCTCTACTTTTCGACTAGGAAGGGATAATCGATCAGGATTCTCACTTAAATTGAGAGAAGTTATTTCCATTGATGAGGGAGTAAGTGACGTAGGGAAATAGTGAAAATGTAGCCATAAAAACAGTGAAAGGACAAGTTAGGGGTTATATTTTCACTCAAAGAGTTGGTGGGATGTGTAACGAAGCATTGCCAAGAAGACGGAGTCCATTGTAGCTTTCTAGAGGGAAGTAAGTAAGATATATGAAAGAGAAGACATCAAGATTATGGGGATAAGGCAAGCAATGAGACTCAGGTGATCTCCTTGTTCTGTGAGCTGGTGCAGACTCAGTGGGCTGAATGGTCTCCTGTACTGTAGATTTCTGTTTCTGGTCTGATCCACAGAACCTTACTTAAAAGTGCTCATGTGTGGGCATCAGATGAGGACTTGATCAGCATGCTATTCAACAGTGTGTGTGGGGGGAGACGGCTAAGCAATTATGCCCTGTATAAAAAAANGGAGCTAAACACCTTAATTATGGGGTTATAATTTAAAAGATTTATTTCAAAGGATTCTCGTACATGTATATGATCAAGATGGATTAATTGAATGCCCTGATCCCATTCCTGTGTTCCAATCAGTTTTTACTGCTGACTGTATTTGACTTCTAACTTTTCTATACATGCAGAAACCTCTCCGTCCAGATTTGGGCCTGAATACACTAGGAAACTTTCAGATCGAAAAGAAGATTGGCCGTGGACAGTTCAGTGAAGTCTATCGAGCAACATGTCTACTAGATGCAATGCCAGTAGCATTGAAAAAAGTGCAGGTAGGTAATGATTTGAAATATTAACAATATTATTTACAATATAAGCAGTCAAAACACATATACAAACATCTGGAAGTAATACTGTAGGCACGCAGGTCTTTCTGAATCCTCAGATCACAAGGAGACTTACTTTGTTTTAGAAATCTGTTTTCAAAACCTTGTTTTAGAAAGTGTGTATATCCAAGAGAAACCATTACCTTCAATATTGGTCAGAACTTGAAAGGGTGGTAAAATCAGATTTGATAATAATTAATATTATCATATAAAAAAAGTAGGTTTTTAAATGAAAGATGTATTTTCTCATATTTGAACCTAGATATTTGAAATGATGGATGCCAAAGCTCGTCAGGATTGCATAAAAGAAATCGATCTCTTAAAGGTAAGTAAGATGACTTGTGATAGATTGAGAGAAGAGTAAGAAAATATGGGTTGAGAGGAAGAAATACTAAGAAACTCATCTTGATATATACAATTGGACTTATTGTCACAGATATCAAAATGGTGCCAAGCAATCTATATATTGTTGCTGGGTCACTTAACTAGCTTAAAATGTTGAAGGGAAGCCTGTCCCTTTACCAGCACATGAAATCCATGCCCATTGCAGGTAGCATATTCTCTTGCAGGGGGATACATGTTTTCTCCTTTGTTCCTGGGCAAGAGAAGCCACCCATAAGGAAGTGTTACGAACAAGACAAATCGGACTCAGAATTTGATGGCAGTTTTGTTGGTCTTGGTGTCCTGATTCAGATATGCATCTCAGACAATTCAAACAATTTTGAATTATTTCCAAGTTCTGAAAATGATGATATAGATTCACGTATTCCTGTCAAACTGAAGAACAAAAGATCATGGCTTCAAAATTGAGGTGACAAAAATAAATGAAAAACGCAAAAGTTTTTTTGCAAATAGAGCGGTGGGCATTTGGACGAAACCATGGGTATGGGTGATAAAATAAGGAGCTGCAAAGCAACCCTAATATAAGGTGCCTCACGAGAGCATGACTTTGTTTAACTGCAATTTGGCAAATTCTTAAATATAGCTGTAATTTTGAAAACAGTTTTCTCTTAAGTTCTTTTTAAGAGCTACAGAGAACTTGAAAGTTAATACCTCATTCAACAATTTGCCAAATTCTGCTCACACTAAAATATTACATAAAGAGAGTAAATCTAGACCCAGGTGCAATTTCTCCGTACACTATTTTTTCTTCTGGGATCTGAAAACCTGTTCAGTTCAGACTGTTGAATAAGTCTTCGTTCTGTCATTTGTGAAGTTGTAAGAGAAATGAATTTGGACCCTTTCAATTGGAATTCCTAATGTACGTAAATCTACACCATAAAACTGTCTGTTATTTGATACACTGTTAGAAATGAAAGGCAAGACTGTAGTATTTTCCAAGAAAATCATTGAACCATGCAAAAAGCCACAATGACTAATATTTACAAGGTTTATTATTATTTAAGTAGTTGGATAATATGTTGATGTCTTTTGCAGCAACTGAACCATCCAAATGTAATTAAATATCTTGCGTCATTCATTGAGGACAATGAGCTAAACATTGTTCTAGAGCTCGCAGATGCTGGAGACCTTTCTAGAATGATAAAGGTAGGAATCTTCAGCTTATACCCCTCCCCTTGTGTATAACTAATGACAGAACATTTGTGTAGCTTTTTGAATAATTGTATCATTTTTCTAGCAGTCAGTCTCATGAGTATTATTAAAACTGTTTAGTCTTAGATTGTACATTGCTATAATCTATGGATAACCATATATTAATTTAATAACGTGTTGCTATGGTAACATGTCAACAAATCTTGATAGCAGTGTGCTTAGCTGAAAATATGACGGCGTTTTTACGAAAAANTATTGCTGTGCGATGTTACTGCAGGATTGAGTATAAACAGAAAAATTCTCTGGTTACATTTTATACATGTATGTAGAATTACAAATATTCTTAATATTTCGTCTGGTTGTATAATTTTTTTTAGTGTTCCAATCAAAATGGTTTAAAATTTATTTTTGGGGGGCAAATAAGCCTGACTGAGAATCTAGGTTGGAGTTTGACCTTACAACCATTTTGATTAGGTACTAGAACTTTGATACGAAGACAGAAATTATTCACTTCTTATTCAGGTATTATCTTCATAAGTAGGATGTTATTATTATCAATAATTTTTATTTAATATGAATACTAATTATCTTATAATATTAATAATCCTTGCATTTGAAAATAGCGCTTTTTATGTCGGGATGTCATCTCAAAGTAGATTTACTCAAATGTGATTTTACTTACTATGCAGAAAGTACTATATAGAAATTGTATGCATTTTTAAAAATCCTACAATATGATTGTGTACAAAATGCACTCTACACATTCAAGTAAATCTACTTTGAGATGACCTCCCAACATGAAATTATCAAATGCAAGGATTTGTTACCCCCACAAAATATAGTCAATTCACTTCACAGTATATTTTGTGAAATGCTTTGAGACGTCTCGAAGACATGATAAGGCGTTAAATCAAACGCAAGGATTATTATTGTTCAACATTTTTTCTTCATATTTATTGTTGAGGATTTGTGAAAACTGGGTGCTTGTCCTAAGTCAATAATAGCTTTAGTTGGAATGCCTCATCAGGTTGAAGCATCTCAACAATAACCTACAAACTGAAGAGTAAAATGTAGCTGTTTCGTGGTGAATTTGGATGATGAGGGTAGAATACTGGCCAGGACACCAGGGGAGAAATCCCTGATCTCATTCTACTTCCACATATAAATTGGATTGTGTTTTCGTAAATACACCAAACTATTTCTCTCATTTTCTCTGGTTCATTAATCCCACACAGCACATTGATCCCTACCTCATTTATGCCACATGTATTGTGGATACATTTTATAGGGACTAGCTGCTATTTAGGGACATTTGCATGTGTTATTCAATAAATAGATCTGTCCAGAGGCTTATTTTGCCAAATGGAGAATTGCCCTAGAGGAAAGGGTTCAATTCATGCAAAGTGCTGCAGGTGCTTATCTGTCAGATATATTGTAACTGTTTGCAGTACCAATTATAACACTTGTGTAGTTTCAGAACTGGAAATAAAAATATTTTTCTACGTTTGCTCATTTCCTAGTTATAATGAAGTGGAAGTGTTGCTATATGGCATAATCCATTTGAATTGTATCTGATTTTGCATTTGTATTGAAGAAAATACTCAATGAACATTTCAGTGATGTAAGGTCAGAAATGAGGAAGACCAAGGACTTTGAACTTTCAATATAGTTACTACTTCTTGTTGTAATAGGTACCCATATTTCACAGGTTTTAATGCAAAATTCTGTTATTGAAATACGCTTCTCATATTTAATAATAATCCTTACATTTGATACAGCACCTTTCACATCAGTGGGTGACACGCTGATTCAACGTGCTTGACAGGATATACTGTTATACAGTGTGGATATAGTATATATTGTTTTACTCTATTATATACTGTTATATTTTGAAACACACATTTACTACTGTAATATACTACACTCATTTGTGTAACTCACCAGTTGGTTCAGCTTAAACTGTTGCAAAGCTTTCCAAAGCTGCCTGTTGGACTAAGTATTGGTATTCACAGCAGTAGTTTTGCTCTCACAATTGGTGTTAAGTGTAGTCTTAAAATATTTGAGTTGGCTGATATTTAAATCAGTTGTGTAGAAATGTATGTAGAATCTTTGATTGCAATATCTCCCAAATTGCATGCATTGATAATGCAATAATGGCCTTGGTATACAGTTATAATAAACATAGACATTGGGCTAAGAATGTTTGCTATTAGTCTTCATGATAACTATAATGTTGAAAACAAGAAAAGGGGACGTGCCAAATTCAGTTGTTTGAAAATGTTATCAACTTTTTATTATTGGAAAATGTTGCCAAGGTAAGCAGCTTTACTGACTGCCAGAAATTACCCTTTACCTTTCTTAGAAGATATCAATCCTGGTTATTAAAATCCAATTTAGCAATCTTTGAACCTATATATTTGTATATTAAAAATATAGGTGTCAGTGGGCTTGATTTGTGATAGATTGTAGAGGACTGCATTCTTTTTGGAAAGCTTTGCAACAGTTTAAGTTGAAAGAACTGGTGGGGTAAACTAATGAGTTGCAGTATAATACAGCAGTGTGTTTGTGTATTTGAATAGAATTGGGGCAGCTTCCTTGGGCTGCTTATTTCACTTTCTTCCCCTCAATAATTGTTAGTTAAGTTCTATAGTTTTATTTATTCAGTGTTTACATTCCCAGATAACCCTGTTGTAGTCTTGGTCCATTATTATAAACACCACATTAATTGGGAGTATGAAAAATTGACGATCTCTGGGTTATCAGGTCGGTGCTGGGAAGTGATGTTAGTGGAGCTTCCTCTGCATGCTTACTGTACAGGATGTGGTGTTGGTGCAATCTGATGACCCAGAAGCAGACATTTTTTAAACATGAGAAGCAAGGTGGAAATGTGCTAAAATTACAGTAACCTTGGGACAACAGCGTACTGGTGTTAAAAGTGACCCCATATTCCAGCAAGGTACTTCATAACAGGGTTGCTCTGCACCTTCCTCTTTTTAAGTAATGTCTTATGTTTATTATGTATCATCCTCTAAAGTTGCAATTTCATCATGTGTTTGGTTTCATCTTTAAGCATTTGAAGAGACTGATCAGAATATCTTCTCTGTGGGTTCTTTTGGTCAATTTTACTTGTGAAATAATTTTTTTTTCTGAACCTTAGACCATGGAGAATTATCCATGAGTTGTGTTTATTTATATACTTTAATATTTCAACTGCAACAAAACTCTTGATTCTCAAAATGATTTCTGAATAACTTAAGAGAACTTGCATAGATTAACTTAGAAGATTTCCATTGCAAAAACCAATGTATCTCAGTCATAAGTTCTGTCAGGTTTTGTTGGAACAGGCAACAATTATTTTACACATAAATGTATGTGATGTATGAAAGTTTTGCCAGATTTATAAACATTTTAGATTTATAAAATTGCAGGTATTATTGAAACTACTTAGTTCTAATTCATTGAAATATCTAGCAAGCATTGCCAGTCCTTTCATTTTGTTTAAAATCACATTTTCTTTCTAGAAATTAATTTTAGACTTGTATTCAGAACGATACAGCTTGCATTCAAATTCAGTCCCAATTAAGGAAATTTGCATTGTTAATGTGGTATGGATGAATCCAAATGTGGTTAATTGGAATTGTAGTCCACCAACATTAGCTGAAAACATTTTTTTGCAATTTGTTATTGCTCGTTTTCTTGAAGAGGTTGAACTTAGAAACTCATTTTAGGATACAAATATAAATGGAAAATGACAAATATAAATGTCATTTGCCATTTATATTTGTGACCATCACATTTTCAAGAAGTGATTTAATGCCTTAATACAAAAGAAAGATTGACAACTAAGTTACTAAGAAAATAATTGTTTAATGAAAGTAGAAATCACAAAACATAAAAAGCACAACTAACTATTCTTAGATGATAATTGTAATTTCAGTTATAAAATGTTTAACCTCACAACTTCAGTAGCTTTGCATAGCTGTGTGATTATCTTTACATCATGTTTGGTCAGATTTGTTGATTCATTTTTGCCTTGACATTTAAATCATTAACTTATACACAGCTATTTATTGTGTTCTGTTGTCTCTCCATATAGCAGATTATGTTTTGTGATTTTTTTTTGCTTTTAGTGATTGTGCTTTTCATACACTGTGAATGTTATTAACTATGTTAATAATTGGCATCATTTGTAAGTTTGAATTTATTTTTGTTACTTCAGCAGTGAGTGTCTTAATCCAAATGTAATTTTTTTTGTTTATATACCTTTATTTGGATGTGCAAATATTGTTTAGAGCACATTTGTTTCTGAAAGGAAGCAGTTTCATGTCCTTACCGTCCTGACATCAAACAAACCTCTGATATGTAAATTCAACCCGGGAAAGAAAAGATGCAAAGCTTTATTTTGGATGGATGCCAAATTTTCTTGCACAGAATTGTATTTGAAACACAAGCTGAGTGAACAGCTGATCAATAATTTGCATGTGAACCAAAGTTGAAACATCTGGAAAAAAAATGTCGGATTTGAAAACTAAGGCCTAGTACACATCATTTGAAGGAAGAAAACAAATTTGAATTGTTTTAGCATACTGAAGTATAAAAGTATTACCAAAGATGAGCCATTATAGTGGTTTATTTTTTGTTAAACTAACATTAACACAGCATCTCGATGACTCCCTCTGAGTTTACAGGCCAAGTAAATAGTGTTTAACTCTTGCTGACATTTATTGTACCTTGGTAGAAGACCAGATGTCTAATCCTTGAGGTTTCTTCACTTATCATTGAGATTTAGCACTTTTTAAGTAAAATAAAATACTGTGGTTGCTTGAATAGAACCAGGTGGCTGTTCATGCCCCTATACTCCAGAACAAATTTATGAAAAAAAACTTGGCATGTTCAAGTTGAAATTTTTTCATAGAAAATAGGAAAAATTAGGATTTATGATATAGTGGAATCCCGTTGCATATTGGTTAGAGCACTCACCTCGCAAGCAAGAGGACCTGGTTTGATTCCTGAGCAGGGCGAAATTTAGGCAAGTTTCCTTACTCCACAATTTTCTCTAGCTAGCAGTAAGCAGGTTGTTAATTGATTGTCCGATTGCTTTTTGCTTTCACACTTACAATTCCACACCTGAAAAATATTACAGTAATAACCCTATCCAATTACAGCAATTATTGTTTTCTTTTGCATCAATGCAAGAACTAAGAATATACAGAACTTGTCAGCATACACCTGTCAAGAGACAAGCATTTCTACAGACTTTCCACCCATTTTCCACCCATGAAAAAATGTCTATGTTCAAGAACCTAAACCCTTTGATGTCCAAATATGATGATGTGTTTAAAGTTACTAAGTTTAAGAGAAACAAGTTTCTGCTTCTGATCACTAACCTTGTGCCCTATTTGCTTTCGTTTCTGTGGCACAGCGCATTTATAACAATCAAATGGAGCACAAGGCTAGTTTCATTATGAAATCTACCTTTATATTGCTTTTGGAGTTGTATAAATCTTTTTGCATTATTGAAACTGGTGAAGGGTAGTAAAGAATAATCATAAACTACAGAATTGTTTCTAAGAGTGAAGGCTAAATTGCCCCCCCACCCCCCCCCCTTGAAAAGAAGAGGAAGGTAACTTGCATATGCCAGAGAACACAGGCAAAGCTTTGGGCTCGGTGTGTAAAACAGGCAATAAGGACTAAATATGCTGTTATTCCATGTATCTGTTTTCAAATCATTGCAGCCATTGTTGCCTTAACCTTCCAAATATGAGCATTGTTTGCAATTTACCATTGATTTTACAATAAATTACTACTTGTATGCAAGTCAGAAAATGATAATAATAATAATAATAATAATCCTTGCATTTGATATAGCGCTTTTCACGTCAGGAGGACGTCCCAAAGCGCTTCACAGAACACACTGTAAAGTGAATTAACTGTATATTTGTGGGCAAACGCGGCAGCCAATTGCGCACAGCAATGTCCCACAAACAGTCGTAGATTGAAAATGACCAATTTATTATTGTTTTTGGTTTTTGGAGGGATTATTATTAGGCGTGTGGAGTAAGGAAACTTGCCCAAGGTTTCGCCCTGCCTGGAATTGAACTCAGGTCTCTCGCTTGCAAAGCGAGTGCTCTAACCACTGAGCCACAGGACTCCACGATGCTGCAGATTTTGTCCGGTTTGCATAATGACTACTAAAACAAATTGAACTAAAAGCAGATTTTTCTGATAATTAAAGCAAATTTGCTTAGGAAGAGGTCGGTGAGAAGTACAGAATGTTAAGAACTGGGCCAAAAGGAAAGTGTAGTCACAATTTCCCCTGAGTGCTAAAGAAAGCAATAATAATTCTTTTTTGCAACAATCTAATGTGTTATTTCTTCATTCTTAGTTTTTATCAATAAAATGAAAAAATGTAGATTGGCAGTAAAATGTACCTTTGAGTAACACCAATTAACTGTCGCAAAATTTGGCAATCCCCTGTAATATTTGGCAAATATTTCTACGATTTTCTATTTGCCCTTGTTCTGAGTAAAATATGTCCTATTCGGAAACTCGAATAATTAATCGATAACAAATCACCTGAATGAGATCAGGTAGCTCCTGGAATCTTCAAGAAGACGGTCGAGGGAATGGGTAAAGTTTGGGTTTGTAATTTTAGGAACTGCACATGAGCAATGGAGCATAGTAAATATTACTCTATTTGAAACAAATAGGTGAGTCTCGAAAATGGATATTATCTGCCAGTTCGCCTGACAACTGAGGTGGAAAAATACTTGCAAGCATTGTGCAAGATGCTATAAACTGTTCTCTGAAGAGTGTGGAGGCCATGAGGAGTATTAGGCAGCAATAAATCATGTTAAACTTGGAATTTTTTGAGGGGGTAACCAAACGATGGATCAGGACTTTCCTCTGGATACAATTTTCTTGTATGTTTAGAGGCTGAAGTTCTGCATGTGAGATTTAAAGAACATTGAAGTTCACAGGATTGGTGATAAATTGGCTATCAGGATTAAAAACTGGATTGGCTATCGGAAGCAGAAGGTGATGATAAAAGATCTGTCTGAGAAGCATTCAGTAGTCAAGTTCAACAAGGGTTTGTTCTGGGTTTCTGGGTACACTTCCACATGTATGCGGACGTTACCCAACTCTATTTTTCCACCTCACTTTGCGAACCCCAGTCCCCTGATGTTCTGTCGACCGGCCTGTCAGACCTCAGGAGCTGGATGAGCGTGAATTTCCTTCAGCTGAATGTTGACAAGATGGAAGCCATACTCTTTGGCTCTCGTCAACGTCTAAAATCACACGTTCTCACTTCCTCCACCTATCCAACCTCCCCCTAAAACTCTCCGAACCTGTACGCAACCTAGGCGTCAGGTTTGACCCCCAATTATCCTTCCTCCTCCAAATCCAGTCCCACACCAGCATTGCTTTCTTCTGCCTCCGACGCATCGCCCGTCTCCGCCAATACTCACTCCAAAAGCCGCTGAAACCCTGGTCCATGCCTTTGTCACCTCTCGGCTGGACTATTTAAATGCCTTCCTCGCCGGTCTCCCCTCAACTACCATTCATAAAATCCAGGTCATACAAAACTCTACTGCCCGCATTCTCACCCGCACCAAACTCCGCTCCCGAACACCCCGGTCCTTGCCAGACTGCATTGGCTGCCTATCCCAGAGAGGATCGACTTCAAGATCCTCACTCTTGTCTCCAAATCCCTTCACTCCTCCGCACCCCCCTACCTCTCTGACCTCCTCTCTCCTCACAACAATGCCTGTTGCCTTCGGTCCATCGGGACTGGCCTCCTCCTTGTCCCCCGAATCCTCCGATGTCTTCAGCCACTATGCCCCGAGGCTCTGGATTTCCCTTCCTCACTCCCTTCACCTTGACCCCTATCTTCCCACTTTCAGGTCTCGGCTGAAGACCTTTTTCACCGTGCCTTTGGTTACCTTCCTCCCCATCACCCTGGCTCGGCCCCAGGATCCGTTACTGTGAAGCGATCTGAGATGCAGTCCGGCGTGGAGGACGCTATATAAATCCAAGTTGTTGTTTCCTACTGTTCACACCATTCACAAATAATCTGGAGAGCACTTGTGATAAAAAGAATTGCTGACTAAGCTATGTGGCCAGATAATGAGTGCAGGAATAATTTATAATGTTTTAAAGGATCGGGACCATTTAATTAGAAAAGAAGAAAGAGCAGATTAATTTTAATGTAGATAAATATAAGGTAATGCATATTAGGTATTTGTGAATTGTGAAGGGGTGTTCTTTGTTAAAGATGGAACAGGAAAATGATTGAACTGATTTAGTAGAACATTTGAAAGCTTCCAACAATGTTATGATAATAATAATAATCCTTGCGTTTAATATGGTCCTTTTCACGTCTTCTAAACGTCTCAAAGCGCTTCACAGAATATGCTGTAAAGTGAATTGACTGTATATTTATGGGTGAAACGCGGCAGCCAATTGCGCACAGCAGTGTCCGACAAACAGTCGTGGATTGAAAAAGACCAATTTATTATTGTTTTGTTTTGGAGGGATTATTATCAGGCGTGTGGCGTAAGGAAACTTTCTCAAGGTTATGAGTTTCAGGTACATCTTAAGGATATTAAACTAAATTGTTTATTCAATTATACAGTTATTCAAATCATGACTCAATTATTGATCAAGAGAGATTTTAAGTATTGTCTGATTTTGTGCATGCTGCCTTCAGATGTGTTGAAATATCCCTCCTCTTTATCTCCCTTCCTCCATCTGCAATGGAGAAGTGGATGTATGGAACAGATTCAGTAAAACAATTTGCTCTGCCAATATAACTCATTCAACACCCCCCATGGATAAATTTGGAAAGATGAGAAAAAAAGTTTATAGGAATGAGAATAGACAAAGAATTAAATATTCCATTTTGGCCCCTGTGCTGATGGATCAAGGAAGTGCCATCTGTGGAAAGCAACCATGGTTTAATATTGGGGATGTAGGAATGAATGAATATTTTGGAGTTTGCTCAATTACCTCGACTGCTCAGAGAGTATTCATGCAGAACTTTACCTCAAGCAGTTAAAATCTGTGGAGTAGAGTCTTAATGATAGGGTAAATTATATGTGATCTGTTAAAAGGATTGGGCTCTATGGGTTTTTGGGGGTTTGACTGTTCTTTTTTGTTCTATGCCAACTTAGAGAAAAACTTATTTTCCTTGCATTTGAAAACAAGATATCTCTGGAAGAATCCAAAAAGTAGTTCCCATGATCATCATAATGTGCTTTCAATTGAAACTGTTTGTTTATAGAGTTCCCAGAAGAGAATTTCACTTGTGGTACAATGACGTATGTTATTTCAAAATGACTGGTTACATCGATTCACATCCTTAGGTGGAACAGAATCCTTTCTAAATATGGACAAATGAGTACGTTGAGGATTCGGAATTTGGGCGTTAGCTTTTTACAATAGCAAGTCAGTTATTGCACTGTTTCAGTAATTAGGCTTTTTTATAGTCATCACTTTGCAGGATTTTGACTGGACACACAAATGTTATTGACTTCGTAGTTTTCTCTGTTCTTTTCACAGCATTTTAAGAAACAGAAAAGATTGATTCCAGAAAGGACAATATGGAAATACTTTGTGCAGCTTTGCAGTGCCTTGGAACATATGCACTCTCGACGTGTCATGCATAGAGGTAACCTCAGTGTGGGATAGTATACTATGAAAATAAGGTTATAAAATGTTATGATGTATTATAAAATGTCCTGTTGTATTGGCCAAAATTTCAAGTTGAGAGTGTTGGAAACACAAGTAGAGTCTGTGCATATATCTGATCAGCATATTGTACTTGGAAAATGTTTATGTTTTTGGTGCTGTAACTTAACACAGGACCAAAGCAAGCTAAACCTATTTATCTGCTTGGACACAATTTATTATTTTCATTTCAGAAAATGTTTCTTGGCAAATAAAATGGACTCTTTACATATTGAGAATGGCTACAGAGAATTTCAACCTACCAGCTCCTGAACTATTTAATCTACTATATGAATAACTAAAAATTGTGTTGATTCTAAATGTATAAACAAGGCTTTTAGATTACAAACCCTGAATAAGGTTACAGTAACTTCCACCCCTATAATACTGAAGGATCAGATTTCCATATATTTAAATAGGCTGCAATCTGTCTTGCTGTTTTTGATCATCACTATCACTTCTAACATTTTCTTGTTGACATCTCTGAGAAAAGCTGCATTCAGCTTTGCAATATATCTGGTATTTAAACCAACCTTGATTTATCAAGTAATACATTCTGTTCTAGATCTTGTGCTAATTAACTCTTACCTTTGCTAGCTTGAATCCATTGCAAATAAATTCCTGTGAAATATTTAAAAGACGAACTTCATGGATTAGAAAGAGATATTGTCAGACTATTTGACATATTTATGGTATAACTGAGCAGTCCCAAACATAGTGCATCAAAAAATACTTACCTTTATGAGACTCAGTTGGTAAACCTACTGCCAATAGTGAAACTGAACTATAGATTCGGAAGCCCCCAGTTTTGATCCTCCTTGTGTGCTGACTGAGCTCATCTCGGTTGATTGTCCCTGGGGTAGGAAAAGTAAAATCAAGAAAAAAAGACAGGGAATGAACTGCTGAGCAATCACTATCCAATGACTGCTTGATTATGTGATTTTATATTATGTGAATATTTGGTAAGTACTCAAGAGGAAGAGTCATCTAACAGTTGAGGAACAAAATGGAGAGGGAAATACAAAAATAAGTCCACCTTGACAGGGTTTTTCTAGATTTGGGATCTCTAGCTGAGATTACCAAACACCCAATCCACTTCAAACGTTTTAACTCAAGTTCAATTCTGTTTCTCATTTGAACATTGAACAGTGCACAGGACTGAAAGGTGATATCTTAGAAAGCTATGATCACCGTCTCCATCAGGTGTGTATAAGGAGCACAGTATGCTTAGTTTAAATGCATCTGACAAGAAGCTGCTTCACAATAACACTTTCAGTCTCCAAGGTTATTATATCAATATAGATTCAAACAACCCTGGCTATCTGTTAACAGTCACAGGCTGAGTCTGCATGATGACAGCATGAATTTTACCAAAGAGTCTGAAACTATATTACAGTCTAAGGCTAAGCAGTAGCAAATAAAACCTCTAATTTGTCTGAATTTCCAGCTGTAATTGTTTCTATCAGGGGTGTACCATCCACTCATCAATTTATAAGCTGGATATGAGCAGATTTGCTGAATGATCATATATATCTTGTCCAATACGATGCTTTCCAGTGGTGATACAATACTATCTAACAGGAAGAAACCAGGCTGGTTCACATGTGATTTTACCCCACCCCCAAACATTGACTGTCGTCCTGAAATAATTGATACTCATTTATTTTCATAAACTTGTTCCTGGCCGACTCAAATTTGGTGAATGGTGAGTCAAGATCATGGTCAGGTCTATTTACATAGTAATCTTTCAGTTGTATATTTAGCTGCAAACAATAAAGAATGGACAGAAACCCAGATTTGCTGGGTCGCTCTACAGAATATTTTCATCAAACAAAATCCCAAATTAGTTTGATTATGGCCATATCCAGAAAATGTGTGATTGTTTTAATTCTATTGTGATTCTATTCAGAATGTTAGGAGTCTGCTCTTATTGCTTTTGTGTAATTGAAAGGGTTAGTTGAGGTGCACATCAGCGATGATCTAATTAAATGTCGGAACAGTTGCAAAGGGCTGAATGGCCTCCGCCTGTTCCTATGTCCTATGATGTAGCATGTCTTTTGCAGAAATTTGAATTGTATTCTGCTCTGCTACAGTTGGATACTGTGAATCAAAGTCAACATTTCATTCCACTTCCTACTAAACACCAACTGATCCCAGTGCCTTTCCCAGACCTCCTGGATTTTAGTATTAGATTTGTCCTGCATATTGATAAAAACTTTATAGATTTATGTCTGTTGAATAATTTAGAATACAAGATCTTAGAAAAGCGTATATCTCCAAATAAGGGAATAGTTTATATATTTTTAAAAAAACTTCTGCCTCAAGAATACAAATTCAAATTGAGGCTCTTAAACCTTTCTTGACATGTACAATTGTTTTTAAAACTTATATACCAACATCAATGTCCTCAGTGCTTAAATTGAGAGTTCATATGACTGGTTGGAGGTCTGTATGGTGATATATTGTGAATCATCAGCCAAGCTTGTAATGTGTGTTATGTTGTGCATTGTATTGGGCTGTAGATTTGAAACCACCTCCAAATTTCCAAATACAATAGTTAAAGGAGTGTTTTCCCCTCTGGTGTGATCTTGTACTTGAAATGTACTGTACATTAACTGTAAAACCTAAAACTAAATGTTACCTACTCAATTCTGAAGTTAGAATGAGGTAAAATCAAATAAGTTTGTTTATTTCTCCAATGACTAACACAAATTAAATAGTTCAGGTGATTCCTGTGTTATTGCAATTGTTGGAAGCAAAATATAAATGCATCTTTACTTGGATAGAAAAAGGAGACTCTGCCTCAAAAAAATGTTTTCCTCCTGACATGAAAGGCGCCATACAAATGTAATTTGTTGCTGTTGGTTTCTGTTTGTGGTAATGTCACTACTTCATATTTATTTCCATATAACCTTCTCTTCCCTTCCAGATATAAAACCAGCAAATGTGTTCATTACAGCAACTGGCGTAGTAAAGCTGGGAGACCTTGGATTGGGCAGATTCTTCAGTTCGAAAACTACAGCAGCACATTCTTTAGGTAAGCAGCCTTGCACAACATGAATCCATTTAATTACAGAAGCTGGATGCATTTCATTAAATGACTGAGACCAAAACCATGTGTCTGTTATAAATATGGCAGCAGCCAAAGACGAACTCTGCAACCACTGTTGGGTGTATCCATTTCATTGTGCAGTTACAGGGTTTCCTGTTTCTTTGACCTTTGCCATAGTACAGGGAATGCCTGGAAGTAACAAGTCCAGTCTTGCTACTGATATAGAATTCTGATACACAACAGTGTAATAAAGACCAAAGAGCCTGTGATGAATAGGCTGCTTCAAGACTTCATGCTGGGCTGACCTGTTGATCTTTTCATAAGGTTATAATGCAGAAAACAAGCTACTTTTTGTTATTGTGTTGCTATCATATATTGCAGATTGTGATTGCAGGAGGCAGTTTTACTATTTTTGGTTTTGTTTCTCTCTAATATTTCCAACAAGATATTCAGTTATCAGTAACAGGTTCCAAAGAATCTGAGCAGCGAACTGTTCATGATAAACACTTTCTGTAGGTTTGATCCAGATAGCAGTTGAGTTGTGTAGAGCATTGATTTACTTTACTTCATTATTGACTCCAATATAAAACTGCTCTTGCAGGATTCAACGTTGAAAAATAATGACTTCAAAATCGTTTACATTTTGGTATAGGGCAGACATAAATTCAACAAAGTTTGATTCAATTTATTTTGCTACAGAGCAAGACCAATCTTAGGTCAGTAGGACTTAGCTTCAATTTCCAGATCGTACTGAATGAGTATCTGCAATACTATTTTAATCCACCAATCAGGCTGATCGCAAGCTAATCTTCAAAGCTTTTCTTGTAAGATATGAACCCACAATTTTCCTACCAACAGGTTCTGTTGGTGTGTTAATTGAAAATCAATTATTGATGAATTATAATCCATATTGTAAGCCTACAGAACACTTTTTAAATGGTCCTTGAAGTCATACAAAATAACATTCATTTGCCTACAAAATCATTTATACTGTAGACATGAAACAACCCTGAGTAGAGATTTAAATAAAGTGATTTGATTGAGGGAGCCTTAAATCAGAGTTGTTACAAGCAGTTAGCTCCACAACTGAAGAATATCTGTGCACATTCCTTTGTATTAGCAACTTAGATGTATTAAATAGAAGTTTTCTTGGCATGTTTTAATATCCCAGTGGCCATTGGATCTATTGGATGGCTGAGGTTGTTATCTAATTTCTGTAATTATCTTTGGGTTCTGAAATTACCTTCCATCAGTGCTAACGGGTGACTCATGATAAAATGTTGTAGCAGTACACTGTCTTCCCACAGAGCAGAACTTTTGGAGTTTTCATGAAATTAGTCTAAACATATTACCCACTGACTTGACAGTATATTGCTGAAATAAAACTGGTTTGACGCTGTGCTAAGGAGGTATCTAGCATTAGCATTCTGAAAATAACCCGAGAAAAGTGGTGCCGTAATCTGCAGAACAGCCATTGGAATCTATGAACAAAATTTCTCAATGAAGTTGAATTGAATTTTTTTAATTTAGTGGATTACCTGCACACAGTATAGTTCTGATATGGTAAAAGTAGTGAAATTCCTTTTACAACTGAAAATCGGTCATAAAATCTAATTTTAAAATCTGCTAATATTAACTTCCGGCTTTGGGCTGTTCTGATATTTTCAGACTTGGTAGATGAGCCTTGGAGAAAGCATTCTGTTGTACACACTTTGAATCTTTGTTCGATTTTAAAGTTCAAGCAGTTTAATTTTGTTGACGTAGTGAGAGATGCGTTAAGTCAGCATATTGGACGAGGTGCACATTTATTCCCTGTATTGATAATAGGGCAACTTGATGTTGGAGAAATAAAAGCAGAAAATGCTGCAATTTTAAAACTTGTGTTGGTGATTCTTGAATCGTTTTTCTTTTGCTTTTGTTAAATGCCAGAGAAGAGGCTGCGTATTTTCAAGAAGGTAGCAGAGATTGGTTGTTTAATTTATTGACCATATTCATTGAGAGAGGAGTTTGGAGAGGGATTTAAACACTCCTGCAGTTTTTCAGCCTTAGGCATTATGTAATTTGCAAGCAAATTGCCATGTTTATTACTTGGCTCATATCTATCGGCCCATTGATATGACGATTTGGATATGATCCAAATGTCTTTGCACATACTGTATTGGCGCAGAAACTTCAGAACTAATAGCATTTATTTCCATACATTTGGTTCCTATGATCAAATATACACATATACAGTCAATTCACTTTACAGTATATTGTGAAGTGCTTTGAGACGTCAAGAAGATGTGAAAAGCGCTATATAAAATTCAAGGATTATTATTAATCATTTTTTTCAGGTGTATAACCAACCCTTATATCAATAACTTTCTGAAGCTACTTGTTAGAATTACTTTGACTTTCAATAAGCGGGGAAGCTGCTTTTTAAAATGTTTTCCTGCCTCCTGTGGATTCTATACAGCCCTTTTATTTGCGGTAAATTATCATCATCATAATTTGTGGTAACCAAAGCTGACGGTTGTTGACCCTTTGCAGCCTAGATGGTGAAAATATCTAATAATTACTCTAATGTATCTTTGTGTCTGGTGTTGTAATCTGTGTGTATTGCTGGTTGCTCCAAATTATGAGTAGAAACTGCATAATTTAGTTATGAGAACAGCACCATTGCTGTCAGTGAGATGATTTGTTCTTTGTTTTAAGGAAATTTGGACGGTTAATTTTACTTCAGGTGCATTCTTGAATGTGCTTAAAATATAGGATATTGTTTCTGGTCATTTTGAACAGGTTTTTACATTTGCTGGAATTTTTAAATCAAACTTCCAACTAATTTGCTCTCATAAGAAGTCTGAAATTAGCAGATCTCCGTCAAAATCTAAAATTGGGAAAAAAAGACTCTCAAGGTCTTTCTCTCTTTCTCGCTCTTTCTCTCTCATACATAGAATCACAACTTTAAACATCCTTGGAGTTTTCTCACTGTATCAGATTATACATTATTTAATTGATATATTGTATTATATAAAAATATAATTTGAATTCTCTTCATGTTCATTAGAGTCACTACAATTGTAAAGCTTTTTTTAAAAAAATGTCAGACGTAGGGATGTAATATTTGTTTAATGCTGGATATCAATTTCATGTAAATTCGCATTCTTGTGTTATTGAGACACTGTAGATTGCTTTTTTGCCAGTAATACAAATGACACATCTGGCTCTTGGGCTTGATCTTTTTGACATTGCATTTTATAGCGTAGTAAAATACAAGTTATAACTGTATTTTTTTTTCCCTTTTAAAGTGGGTACCCCATATTACATGTCCCCAGAGAGAATACATGAAAACGGATACAACTTCAAATCTGACATCTGGTCACTAGGATGTCTACTGTATGAGGTAAGCCTATAAAGGTATAGAAATTCAATGTACTTATGATGTTTTGAAATACAGCAGTGGTTATTCTTAAAATAAAATCACAGATAATATTGCGTTTTAACCCTTTGAATGACTAGAAGGTCTGCCGAGACTTGTGCTTCTACCCTTTTTAGCTAATGAATTGATAGTGAGTGAAATACTATCATGAAATATAGTGCTGGAAATGCCATTCATATGTTAATAGCTTTAAAATCATAATAATCTAAACACACTAAGAACTGGGCTCTTAAGAGCTGGATTGAGAATGTCCAAAATAATTTTGCACAAGACCCTGTCAACTGACAGAAGGAGGAAATGTACATTTCCTCAGTCTGGCCTGAATTTAAATCTGGATGCCTAGAGGTGAAAACAACTATTTTTTACCCAGACCTTTCTTTTATACTTGAAACAAAAAAAGTGATTGGGTAGATTTGGATCATTAAATAATGCACCCTGACAATATACCTTCATGTATATCCACAATTAGACATTTGGAATTTACTGAGTACTTGGTCCATGAAATATTAGTCCTTACATATGATGAATGTAAGATGATTCTACCTCAGCTAAATGTAGAATAAGCAATAAACTGTCTTTTTTAAAAAGTGAACAAACAATTTTAAGACAACTCAAAAATCCAAATGGCACATTTTTCTAATAGCATTTGTTTTTGCTAAAGTGACCTAAATTTATAAAAATACGTCCTGAACTCAGTGAACCTAGTTTGTGACTAGTGAATATTAAAAGTGATTCGTTATCACTGCCAGCAATAAAACAATCAGCAACAGGAAGCCTGAATTGTATTTCCTACTCAAAAGTTCACTTTTACCAGGGGTTGAGGAGACGTACAAGATTGTGGTAACCAACAACCATCTCAAGTTGAAGAGGATGTAATGTATCCAACTTGATAATATTAAAAATGATCCCTTTTTTATTTGGTGTAAGTGCTAGAGACAAGACATTCTGTAATGCTGCGTAGGAGTTGAATCAGTGTAATTTGCCGCTACTTATGGATCATGTATTGCAAATCCTTTTTGTGTAAAAAAAAACACTTTTTAAAGACTTTTGTGGTTGTCATGCTCAAATCCCCTTTTACTGTTTTCCTCACTGATCATGCTGAATCTTTTGCTGGACACTCCAGCAATATATCCACGATTGCTTCAAAACTTCTGAGTACACAAAGGTGAACAGAAAATGGTATCTCCGAAAGGATGAAGGTGATTAAGATAGTGGACTGTTAAGAAAAATAACAGACATGGTGAGATAATATATATTTTTTGTGTGTATGTGTAAAATACAGAGAATGGAGATGTAAAGGACAGGTTGGGGCATTGTTGGCCAGGATACTGGGAGAAACTTCTTTCTTGTGATTTGTGCCTTGGTATTTTTAATGTCCACCAGACAAACAAAGGCTTGGTTTAGCGTCTCATCTAAAGAATAGGAACTCCAACAATGCAACCCTCCAACCCCCCCCCCCCCCACACACACACACACACACACACACAAGCACACACACACACATACATCACTTGAAGCATTGCATTGGAGTGTCAGCCTAAACTGTTTGAGTTCAAAGTCCTGACATGGGTCTTGAACCCATGATCTTCTGACTCAAAGGTGATAGTGCTACCAACTGAGCCAGGCTGTCACAAAAGTTACACAGTTTGATGTAACTAATGAAATTTTATACGAAATATCCCAAATGTGGTGCTCCAGTGTTTGTTTTTAATCTTTGCCACATTGTAGAAAATATGTAAAGTGGATAATTATTTTCACTGTGAAAACAACAACTTGCATTTATATAGCTCCGTCACTCGGGGTAGTGTCCCTGGAGCACTTTGGGAAAACAGTTTGAATTTTTTTAAATTTGAAAAGCAATCAATAAAAAAATTAATTTCTTTCATTGGGAAAGCAGATCAGTCTTTTCCACTCATGCAAAAAGACATTTTATCTTGGATGTTTTAGTATTGGTTTCATACGCCTTTTAAAAAAAAAAGTTACAATATACTACACAGATGGTAGCCAGCAGGACCTTGAATTTGCAGGAAATATTGGGTTTTTCAAAAAATTTAGTTGTATGTTAAACACAGACAGATGAGCAACAGGATGCACCACATTGATGGAGGTGAAATTTTAAATCATTCCATGTTTCTGAATCTTTGTTTAAATAAATGTTTCCATGTACCTTTTACTAGTTAGACTGCAGTTGTATCTCTTGAGTTAAAATTCACATGTAAGCTCTTGAAATGCTCAGTGTTTGAAGTCACTTTCAAGTTTCCATGTATTTTACAACTTGATAAAATTTCTTCTTACCATGTTCATGATTATCATTCAGTGATATCATCTGGGCTCAGTAATTCTGACCTGCCAAGGTGAATGCAGTGGAAAAATATTCGGTTGTAGAAAGTGAACTTGAAATATGCAAATGTTTATATTGCAATTTGATGTTGCCGAAGAAAGTTTGAGTTGCAACTTTAGGCTCGCAACTGTTGGTATAAAGGACTTTCCTTGGCACCTTGGGTAGTTCGCAAAATGTGTTCCTGTGGTTGCAAATCCTATAGGCTGTGGCACTTGTATTTCTGTATTAGAAAACTGATTCATGAGAGCTTCCTTTTGAGAAGATACACAAGGCAGCTGCCCAGCCTGCCTTCAGAATATTCCAAAAAAGTTTTGCTTGTTTGTCAACTATAGGACTTTATTTTCAATGGAATGCAATTTTGGACATTTCTGTTCATCTTTTGCCCTACGACTAAGGATTGAGGAACAGTGGTGGTCACAGGAGAGTGTATCCTGAGTTGATGGGTTGGATGATTATTGGAAGAGTTAATTGGTGTGGAGAATGAACAGAGTGGAAGAAAGAGCAGATTTTCTGGAGAATCATCAAGATGGAAAGAAGAGAGACTATGAGCCCGAACCAACTACAAACTTGATAAAACAATTTGAAAAGCAATGTGCGTAACATCTTAAACAGGTTGAAAATGTTGGTCACAAAAATATATAAAAGTAGAATTTCAGAGATGCCCTTCAGAAACGTGTGCAAATACGCATACACACACACAAAGATCATCACTGGAGCAGCTATGCCACAATTATATTGACCAGCTCTGGAATGCCATGTGTAGATTTGGGCATTATGTTGAAGGGATCAGACCAGATAAGCTGGATCTCTTCAAAATGTATATTGCAAACAAAATGGAGTTGAATATTAATATTCTTTAAGTAGCATATTATATTTTCAGCACAGAAGAAGGCTTTTTTGTCTCTTGTTTCTGTATCCGTTATCTGTTTAGTCCCACTCCCCTGCCCCATACTCAAGATGTGTCAAGGTACCAGGGCAGGTTCAAATTTGTGAAGGCCAATTGGGACAGACACCAAGAAGTGTTTTATGTTCCTGTTATTAGATATGTTTTCTTTTCATTTGCTCACAGAATCAAATAATCTCAACAAAATCACAATTTTTTTGTGATGCTTGCCATTGTGAACATTATTGAAATGAGAGTGGTTCAATACATGGTGAAAATTCTTTTAAATTTCAATACTATATTACATTTTTCCACTGTTTAAATTTACATAATTATTGAGGTTTAATTCTTTACAAAATATTCCCCCCCCCCTTTACGTCTCTTTGAATTGTCATATTAATTAATGGTCTTATTTTTGGGTTGCCTTATGCATGCTAAACTAGAACGTTGCTTTACAGATTCTGGTCCTTGCCACAGCCATGCAGTTAATAGGCAATTATACAATAAGCTTTACCTTATTTCTCGGTGAACTTTTTTTTAAAATTGAAAGGACAGCATTTTTCTAGCTGCTTCAGATCTGAATGGCTTGTGGAGTTATGGATGGTCCTGGGTCACTGAGTCATTGTGATATACAGTGAAACTTGAATGATTCATGTTCACCAAGTATTTTGAAAAGTTACATTCATCTGGTTGATACAAAATGTTTAGTTTGTCTACGTTAAATATTACAGCACAGAATAAACCTAATGTGTGGCTATTTCCAGCCGTGGTGATATCCATTCTGGTCCCATGTGAAATGTTCACTTGTCAGGGTTGCCTGTAATCGCCGTGGAGTTAATAGTAGGACTTCCCTAAGCTGCACATGATCCTGTAGTTAATTATGAATGGGGGAGGGGGAAAGCCATGGGACATTGGTGCAATTTGCAGTTCTCAGCCACACTTATTTAATTTTACATTGAGATATAATCGTTTTGAAAGTACTTGATTGTTTCTCTGTTCATCTCTAAGGTAAATTATTCTGTTGCTTAATAAATATTTAGATTTTTTTTTAAAAGTCTTTAAGTCAGGAACCAATTGTATACTGTAATCAGTAGTAACTGGCCTATTTTTTAATGCAGAGATTAAAAAAGAATGGATAACTGGTCTGGAAAACATGATGCACTGGAACATTTTCCTAATATTTATTAATGCTTTGTTCAGTGTCGCACATTATTTGCATAAATTGATCATAAAAATCAGTTACTCATCTACACGGACCTTGACATCTGAAGATGAGGTTTTACATGTTTCCTTTATTGTACAGAGCAGCAGTTGCCTCCTTAGAAGGTTGTAGGTTGGTGGCTTACAGTAAAAGAGAGAGTGCAGCATGCAACCACCAGCCCTGAAGACAGACAGTGCGCTCTCTTACCTTGAACACACCAGGAATACTAATAAGGAAAGCCGGACCCTTGAGGTCAGGGAGCAAGTCAATCATTTCAGTGATCGTCTCAGTGAGGAGGATCAAATTAGCCTGAAAAATTCAGCTGCTGTGAGGAGAGGGCAAGCAGCTGTCAGGGGCAGCAGCGAGATGCACTAATGAACCAGATGAATAGTGCAAAAGCTAGAAAATAAAAACAGGACAGTTGACATTTTTCATCTGTCAAAGCAGAAGATGCATGAAAATATGCTCAGTTTAACTCTTTGGTGAATGCTTCATGTCTGTTAACAGCATTTCGTCTTAAATGTTATATGGGCTGGAATGTTTAGAAACATCATTGTTTACCTTCTCGCAATATTTCTATTGGACATAATTAAAATGTTGGTAATATTTGACCATGATGTTGCAGAAATTGTTCGGTGGCAGATGTCCTGTGTTGGTTCAGTAGCTTGGGAAAAAAATTGCACTCTAGTTCTGGGAATAAAACAGTTAAGGTTATGTTTCAAAGAACAACCGACAGATGAGAGCCATTTTCAGCTTGTCCTGTCCCTGCTAAAGCTCACTGAGTAGCACTGGATGGTCGGCGTGTTTCGCAGAAGGCCTGCGTGTCTGGGGAATGTACACATTGTCCTTTGAAAATCAAACTTATTAGCACATGCAGAAAAGGGTGACTGACTTTAGGGCAGCACTACTCACTGCAGAGCTGATGCTGTCGATGTTAAGGGATTTAACAGGTACTAATACTGAATCCCAAGGACAGAGTCACTATCAACAAGAGAGGGAGTGCAGAGAATTTTAAAGTCCACTACTGTTTGTGCTCTCTATGTTTTAGTCCATACTGTATGCAGACAGCTCAGATTGTTATTGTGCAATAATATACAAAACTGTAAATGTAATCATATTTCTTCAGGCTATAAGTATCGACAAGGCACCACAACCTTGAAAAATATTTGATTTAAAAACTTATTTTTTTTAAATCTGGTAAAGATATCAGGTCCTCCATGTTAAAAAAAAACTTCACATTTCTACAACTAAGGCTGGCTGTTGAGGTTACTTTCGACTCCTTCCACTTGGATTATCTAGCTAACTTAATTCATGGGAATAAATATTTTTTGAATCCTTTGTCTTTTAGAGTTAGTTAACTTTATGAGTAGAAATTAGTTTTTTTTTTATTGGGAGACGATTGAGGGAATATTTTGTATTTGTTTGTAATATCTTGTTTTTCTAAGCTAAAAGTGGAGGCCATCAGTAACGTTCTGCGATACTAACTGTACAAATATAGAAAATCTGCAGTTGGCAGCCCACGTCTGCATGTAATTGTATAACAGATGCTTTCATAAAATCAGTTAGATGAAAAGATGTTCATTTGTTTTCCCACACATCATTAGAGTAAGTCAAGGTGGATATGATCAAGAGGGTGAGCCTCTAACATGTTTTTGCTGTAGTCGCCTCAAGACAATGCGACTCCCCTTTTCCTGCACTACGTGAATGGTACTCTGTCTGGGTCATATTCCCCTGGGAGATCGCAGAGGAGAACGACAATTGAACCAAAGTGTAAAAATGGATGAGCAACCAGGAAAGATGATAGAAGCTTCAGCTCTAAAGTCGAGAAATAAGGTGGTACATTTAATCTTATACATAGGAAAAACCAGGAATACTGCTACAAATTGCATCAGGAAATTTTAAATATGTCACTAGGTGACATATTAAAAGTGGTGGAAAAGTCAGATGCAATCTGAATAAAATTTGCTAGTGAAAGAATGAGCTTTGACGGGGAATGGCTTTTTTCATCTTTGACTTTTCTTATGTTCTCCTATTCGAACATTTCACTGTAAGTCACCTACATTGATCAAGAAGTCACCTTGCTACATTTGTTTTGACAACAGCTACTTTTTCCTTCCTCATTCCTCCCAAAAGTCGGTTGGTTTCAGGCATTTTACCACATTAGTAACATGCCTGCAGCCAGCTGTATGAACTTGAAGCAGGAAGAATGGTGTTTCAAGTTGCACATTAGCCAACTGCAAATTTGGCAAGCTTATCCTCAAGCGCATTGAACTGAGTCATGGAGCCAAATAACCATATCAGCAACTGGATCGCTTCGGAGAAGTGGTATGCAGATCTGAAATTACTGTAAGTTTTCATGGTAGCTCATTATCTCTAAAAAGAGACAGTTCAGTGAGCCTCTGACCCGATCATTTTACTTAAGGATTTTGCAAAATTGGCATTCCAGTTAAAATGTTTGCTTTAATTTAATAGGAATTAAACAAAGGAACTAATTTCAGATACTTATTCCAACACATTTTAGTCTGAACTGTGCAGCTTTTAGGTAAAACAATCTTGTCAACCGTTAGGAATTGAAGTGGAAGATATGTTGATCATATTACCAAGTGAATTAAACTTATTATTATCCAGCTTGCCACATCAAATATTCCAATGTTAGCTTGTAAAGTTGCACTAGATGATTTATGTTGAGAAATTGTCAAATAGCTCTTTAAACAAGTATGTTTGGATGGAAAGATAAGACAACTGTACACTTTAAAATCTGAAATGATTGAATTAGACATTAAAACATAAATTTCAGTGTTGTACTGAGAGTTGTACTTGTATTTCTATTGTGCCATTACAGTAAATGTACATTTAATAGCACTTAACAATAGAAACCTTAGAATACAAAATAGTATGTGGGAGAAATGTAAAAGTGATCAAAAATACAATTGGAAAGATATCTTTTGGAGTTTTGTGAAATCTGAAAGAAGTGGTAAGGTTAATGATTGCAGAACTGAGTTCCAGGGGACAGGAGTGTTGTGGCCAAAGATTCAGTTATAAGAAGTTTTAACCAGAGTCTGAGAAATGGGGCTTAAGAAGTTTAGGTAGAGCAAAGCTATTTGGTTGATTTGAAAACAATGCTAGGAATATTAAAATTGATCTTTTGAGGTCAGGAAGAAATGGAGCTCATCAATGGTAGGAATGTGGAACGAACCTCCAGAGCAGTCACAAAAGATATCCATTAAAACATTCGTGAGGCATTGCCATTGTATGTTAGCAGCTTAAATTTATTCTTTATTGAAGCCTTACCACCTGATTTGTGCTATTCAAATTAAATTATTTAAATTAAATGACAGTAATATTTGTGAGACAGCAAAGGTAATACACAATGGAGCCTGGCGGTTGCCAAAAACATGAGGTGGTTTCACCAAAGCAGGGCATTGATTGTTTCCACAGCAATATAAATTTGGTAATTCAAAATGATGTCAGTCTCCCTTCGAACAACGTTTCATTAAAAGTTCTTAGGCTGCCTATTAAACAATTTTAGGGCTGTTTTTAACCACCCACTTGACTAAAATTAAAAACACTGAAAATAAACACTAAACTGGTTATCGAAACTGTGACTGAGCATTTCAGATGGGAAATATAAATCCCATTTCCTGCTTCAAATCGCTCTATCCCTGGAATAGTATTGCATTGCCTTTCAGCAGTATTAACTTGGTATTAATGCATTAAGCACCAATATAGCAATGTCATGCACTGAATAGCTGAAAATGTAATGCAATGCAAAAAGGGTTGTTTTTGTGAAAGGGATCTGTGTTGCTCAAATATATGCAGTAGGTGCATTTAAACATTCTAACCTTCTATGAATCAGCAGTCTTGATATCCTTTTTTTGTTAACTCTTTGCTAATGTTTATTTATTCATTGGTTCAGGGCATGTATTAATGCTGAAAATGTGAGTGTTTTATGGTGGTAGAGTTAAGGTTTGTCAATGATTTCATGGAATATTCCCTATTCATTTATTCATTCATTCTTCGAAGCTTATTCAAAATAGATAATAAAAAGGTTACATTTAAGAAACCCAAGTCAATATTGAAGAGCAAAAGGTTTCCTTTACCACTTTGCTAGTTGTAAGAATGTACCTGATTTATGGTAATCTTTCAGTGAAACTGTTTTCCTGTTTCAGAACGGTTTCACTAAACGAATGCCCTAACTGCTGATATTATTAACAAATATTTTTAATGCTGATCTTTCTTTCCTTAATTCCACTCAGATGGCTGCTCTCCAAAGTCCATTCTACGGCGATAAGATGAACCTATACTCTCTCTGTAAAAAGATTGAGCAGTGTGACTATCCTCCTCTTCCTTCTGACCATTATTCAGAAGAGGTAGGTTCTTGTTCAAAGTTTTTGATTGTTTGGACAGCTTTCTGTAAAGAAGCACAATGCTTGGCAGAGACAGTAAAATTATCCTGGGGGAGTGGAATACACCAAAATAATGTGCGTGTCATAAGAACATTTCCATTAAAAATCATAAAAGAATGTGCCTTATTCCATAAAGACTGAGTGACTGTGAGATTAATGGCACACATGAAATCAGTATTACATGCTGTTGGTTATTTAAAAATGTTATAAATATGAAAAATGTTCTAATTGCCGTTTTGGTGCACTGTTTGTCTTAAGTTGTTGAAGAAGCAACATTTTCATAAATTCCAGAGAGAACATAACTGCAAATACATCTAACGGGATAATACCCCCATATGACTTTTTTAAAATGGTGCTTTTATACAAGCAGCAGGTTCTGCAGTGTGTTATTAAATTGCACCAGAAGTAGTAAGACTCTGGTCTCCTCTTTCCTCCTCTTCCGCACCAAAACCAAAGTGAATAAAGTGGTGAGGGAGAAAACAGTTTGAAGAGGAATATACCTCTCAATGGCTGAGTTGAAACCTGACGGAAGCCTGGAATCGGGCCTCGGCTATTATCTCAGGCACAGAATTAGGGAAGTCGTTGTTTTCAAGAATAGCTTGTAAGAGAGAGCTTTTTTTTTTGCTCCTTGAGGCACAGTCAATGAAAGTCTTTTCCATATTTTTAATGTTAGAATTATCAGGATAATTACCATAAAATATTAGATATTTGAATTGTTCTTTTTTTCTTTGAAATTGAAGATTTGTATCAAATAGCAATTGCACTTATCCATGAGTTGTTTATGGTGTATCTTCTTCACAAGGTTAAATAAAGTTAGCAAAAGGCTGTTCTGTTGCTCTAGTGTAGAGCCACAATAAGGGATGGAGGAAAAAATCTAGCTCAATTTATTTTCTTTGGTGCTTTTAGGTTTCTCTTTTAATTGAACCTACTCTGTGGTAAATGTGGGTTTTTTGACAATAAAACCTTCTTGGTTCTTATTTTGTTTTGTAATTGTTGATGTATTCCTACCACTTTTTGATCAGTGATGTTTTTAGCTGTGTACATAGAGTATTTCAGTTTAGCTGACTTAGAATCTGTGGGTCTAGATGGTACAGTTAGGTGTAAACAGTAATGTGAAAAGATGGCAAAAATGTCATAGACTGTTCTTTGTTGTGTCATTCAGACTGTCTCTTTTTGCCGTGATGCACATGAATATTTCACGTATCTGCATCTTTATCCCCATTCTTCTTGACTAATTTTCAGACTGTCTGAATTTGCATTTCACATGGTAGCTGATTAGGAGATGCTGAGCGTGGTCGAGAAGCCTCAGCAGGCGGTTGCCATGGCGACCTTCAGCAGGATTTAATGATGATGCCACTAGTGGTTGGTTGAAGTCTGCCTGCCTGCAGGGCTACTCTGCTCAGCCTCTTACTGTGGCTAAGTGTGAAGTGGGGGTTGTGTATTCACAGCCAAGGGGCAATTATCGGGGACCGGCCCAGATGGAAGGTCCCAGAGCTGGCAAAGGCTGAATCCGATCCATTCCTCTCCTACCTTCAGCGATGCCAGTGCAGCAAGATAATTAGCACAAAACAGGAGCATATCTTTCCTTCCAGCCTGACACAATGTGAATGTGTATGGAAATAGATTGGCTTTGTTTTTGTTAGTATTCTTGGCATTTGCTGCTTTTCTGGAGGCATGGGAGATGGATTTACTTTTGGTTCCAAGGAGGGAATTGCTGTATATAGTTAATGCTTTCCCTGCATCCTCATTTTTTGATTAAAAACTGCACAGTAAAAAATACACAAATCCTTAACAAGACACGAAAATGGTATCTCAATGGACCGATGTGCTTTTCATTTCTACCACCCATACAAGGATTGTTACATAAATGAATGTTAAAAAAAAAAACTAATATTTATTGGTATTCGTATTGCTATCTGTATGATCTTTGATTTGATAACACATAATGCTGTATTCTAATCAGTAATATTTTTTGGCGTGTATATTCAAAATGTTAACTTCACATTTGTTAATTGTCTGGGAAGAAAGATGAAGTGTATTCTCTTATTCTGTGTACTGAGCTTGCCGAACAAACCTGCTGTGGAAATGTTGTTCAACACTTAAAGTGCAAATAGTCCTAACCCCAAACATAATTAATGCATCTGAAGTAAAGTGTTTGCAATTGAGAACTACCAGTACATAGAGAACCGAACTATAGTAGAGTATAAGAATCCATCCTAAATCTCGTGCTTTTCTACATGCTACTTGGTGCTATTTAGAATAATGAAACTTGCTGGTTTTCTTTCTGGGTATTCAGTATTACTTTAATTTTCATGCTCATGTTAAATAAAAACTGTCTCCTCATAAGTGACTTCACAGAACAGTTCACTCCAGCCTTTTGTACTTGAAAAAAGACCTCTCAAAAAACACCTTGCTACAGCTATTATAAATAAAATACAGAAAACCTTCCAATCAAATCCCTTAAAAATCCCTTTTAAAACAAATAAAATAATTAATAATCATAATAATTTTGTCACTGAATCTAGGACTGTTTGTGGGGCACTGCTATGCGCAATTGGCTGCCTCGTTTCACTTACAAAATATACAGTCAATTCACTTTACGGTATATTCTGTAAAGCACTTTAAGACGTCTTGAAGACGTGATCATATATAATAATCAAATATTTAAAAAAAGCAAATGCAAGGGTTATTAAAATATCTTTTATTTCCACTCATGAGGTTGACTATAATTCTCTTGTGGAGGCAGAAACTATATTTCACAGGAAGGCATTCAGTATCCAGTATGGACTCAGCATGAAACTGTTTGTACAACAGTGCCAGACGATAGTTTTCTCTTAATGAGAGGTAAAATTTCACCTTTTGTAGTGCAAACAAGCAGTGATCCCACCAAAGACTTTCTGCTATTTATTCTGTGTAGAAAATATTCAGCAAATTTTTCAAATTGAGTCCCTTACTGTAGAATCATAAAAAAGGGAATAACTCTTGTTCCCTGGGAATGATTTCCAATGTGATTCTAGCACTTACAAATTTGTGATTTGTGGCAGCATTTTGGTGCTCTAGAATTCCATCCAAAACCTAAACAAGGCTTTCCAAGAGTTACATGTACATGGAGTATTTTGGCAATGATGGGAAGTTCTGGAGACATAGGCCTAATTTGCTATATCACCAAATCGTAATCATAAAATCGTGATTTTCTTCATGTGTATTTTGCATTTTGGATGCTGTATATCTCAATTTCCTGTTCCCCTTTAATGTTTGAACCACAATTTATACACAGAACTCTCGTGTTGAGATAGAAAGGTGAGAAGTTAAATTAAAAAAACTGTTGGTAAAACAATTTGTTTTAAAAAAAAATTGGAAAATCAGTTAGGCTAATAGCTAAAATTAATAGGGGATATGACTTTTTTTTGGTAAAACAGAGTCCAATCACTAGAAGTCTGACAAGTGGTACATTATTCAAATTAGCAAATGGTATCCCACCAAACACTTATCAGCGCTCCGGGACACTACCCCGGGTGAAAGGAGCTGTATAAATGCAAGTTGTTGTTGGATTTGTGTTTTGTACTTTCTTCACGGCTAGTGTTTCACACTGTGAAGCACACATAGGATTTTCATTGCAGTGGAAACTAGCAATTTTCCAGGCATGTGAAATAACTCTTGTCACACTGTGAAAACCTTGTGTGATCTCCAACTGTACTCGTGCTCAATTATTTAAACTGTAGACATCTATTTATGCAATAATGATCTTGTTGCTGTTTACCTTTTGCAAATGAGAGGCACATCAGATAAACACGAATAAATATGGGTGCCGGTTGATTGGAAACAGCAATTCACTCTTGAGGAGTAACTAACTCACTGTGGTTTGCGAGTGAAGGTTCTTGCTCCCTAAGGAAATAAACTCTCTGTCCAGTTGATACCTACTGCTTTAATAATTTGTTTTGTATCCTACTTGTTTTTCGACAATTCTTTTCCTCTTTACTCATTGTAATATTTTGTTTTTCAGCTTCGAGAATTAGTAAATATATGCATTAACCCAGATCCAGAGAAGAGACCAGATATTACCTATGTGTATGAGATAGCAATGCGCATGCATGCACTTTCTTCAGGAAGCTAAAGCAAATCATGCATCATGAGGAAGAAAGACCAGAAGAAATGAAAAATGAAACTCAGTGTTTCCATACTATCATTACTCCTTGTTACTCTGCCTAGGGATAATTGTACAGAATCCACTGGCCTCATTGGACAGGAAGTTATATATACCCAAATTAAATTAGTTCTTATTGACAAGGCTCTGTATGCTGAACCGCATTTGTTAAATAACTACATCCTCCCGGTGGCCTTATATGTGTTTTAATTCATATACTGTTGCTGTTTTCCTTACATTTGATAGTTTAAAAAAATTGGTGTGCCTGCATTTTTCAAAATCATATATAAGTCTGTTTTCTAAGCATATTGGACCAGACATTATTGTGCACTGTTACGTAACTCATCCTTTTATTTATAGTGTTCATTGCATTTTGTAGCCTTTCTGATATTTTATGCTGATTTGCGCCTCTCCCCCACCCCCCCATAGTCAATTGCTGACATTGTATGAATTAGCACCAAATGTTATGCAAATCCAAATTTGGTTTGTATGGACCAAATTCTAAATTGCTTGAATGTTCCTTCAAGGTCCTAAGATGCTAACAAAAACACTATTAAATATTCAATGATATTGATGGTTTCTAAAAGGTGCCTTTGTTTTTGTTTGTATAAGAACTGCAGTTTAGTACTGTAACTTCAGTTGGCGATTGAATGTCACACCACTGTTATTATGAAAATAATCATTTAGTTTTCCTTGCATGTTCAAATGTTTACAGAAAAATCAATAATAATAATCTTTGCATTTGATATAGCGCCTTATCACATCTTCAGGACGTCTCAAAGCACTTCATGTGATATGAATTGCTTTGATCCTTAAAGATTTCATTTTTGTTTTGAGGGTGTATTCTCTAGTTTCTTCTGGGTTGCTCCTGTACTGAAGTGCACTAGAAAGGCTGGTAAAGTATTCAAGGTCATCACAAATACCTCTGAATCAGCTTCTAGAAAGTATACAATAGAGACCAGGATAATTTTTGCCTCCCAAGTTCAATCTATTTCTTCCCCACCTTCCCCCCATTTTTTTTGCCCTGTGGTGAGGCACCTGATATCTGCCAATCTCTTCCTTCCGTTCCCCAACAGCAGTACAGCTGAGCTGAAACCTCAGCCAAGGAAGGGACTGAAACTTTGTCCCACTCTTCTAACATGCAGTGTTGTCACTTTGCTCTCTTGAGTATTATGGTTTTGATCAAGGTGTTTTTTAAATCATTTTGAATCACCTAAAACAAATTTGTTGACTTTTCAGGTGCAAACAAAACATTTTTGCCTAAAACATTTAGTGTTTAGCCAAAGTCAAATACCAAATATTTAACTGTTAAACAAATTTGCCTATGCGTCACAAAATCATATTTATAGCAAAAAAGTATCAGTCCTGAAGTGTTCAGGACAGCAGCATATCAATAATGTGCCTTGTTTATGTAATGTGTTTAACCTGGCAGTCATAGTGGATATTTCAAGAGGAGTTGGAGTGCAGGACATATTCCATAAGTGAGGAACACTTGATAACTGAGGAATGAGTTGTAAGGGTGTTCATCAAACTCCTCCACTGACTCAATGTGGTGTTGCACCATGCATATCAGACATCCCATGCTTTATCTTGTATCTGTGGTGCGTTAACTGTTAACAGTTAGAATGGATTTGACGATGCTGCAATTGGCCTCTGTCCTTGGGCTAGGAAGGGCAATCGGAGAAAGTTCTTCTTCCCTTCTTGCTGTACATTGATACCACCTTGATGTGCTGCTGATGTTCACTTTGTGGGCTAAGACATGATTTTGAGATACTGGAGGCCACAAGTAAGAATGGGTCCGTAACCCAACATGTTTGGTCATTTTAAGAAGAGGAGAAAATCAGACTGAATATTTAATAGGAAAAATAAAACCATATTCCGCAGTTATAATTTCGTTGAATATTTTGTAATTTATTTCTTTATATGATGGGGACGATAAGTACAGTGTGTAATTTAATATTCAGCACGGTGTTTGCCTTTTACCTCTCTCCAAACAGTGACTGCAATCTTGAAAAAACATAAGAATGGTGCTAAAGAATAAGTTGACCTTTCCTGAGCTTGAAATAGGGCAGATTTTTTACAATTTAAAAAGTGCATTAATTAAATGAGTTCGGCCATTTAACTGCATATGTGGATTTAAAATATTGGTTGCAATACATACACAGAAACGATGCAGTAACTGCACTTCTTCAACATAATTGTTTAAATAAGTATCTTGCCCTCATCCTCTGTGATTCAGTGGTTAGATGCATCTCCAACTGAAAAATCTGAACTGAAACAATTATGCAAATTACATTCTTCATTCTGTGAAGGGATATTCAAGCTGTTACACAAAAAACTAGGAGTCAAAGGCAAACAATAGGATAATGTAATTTCAGAGAAATCTTAATGCAAAACGCTTCAAATAAATCTTATCCTGTTTCCTATTGGGTACTTGTGATATCAGCTAAATGTATTCAGTGGACACATGTTTGGTAAAACTTGGCATATCTTTAAATTACTTCTGGATCATTGCACGGATACAGACCATCAATGTGCATTTTAGATTTTCACGAAAATAGCTAATAGTGAATAATCTGCCTTTGTAGGATAAAGTAATTTTTATAAATCTTTTAGCATTTTCAGTCTAAACTGATTTGCGCTTGTAATTAAATTTGAAATTGATTTTGTTTGTTAAATCCTGCCAATTGAATTCATTTGTTAATTTCTGGGGGAAAACAATATTGAAAACCAAAGGACTCCATGTCCTGTGTCTTACATTTCTGTAGAAATTATGTGTTTCAAAAGTGTTTGTATTTAGTTATTAAATAAACGCTCATACCGAAAATGCACAAAGGATTGCATTGCACATATTCCCAAGGATTTCACAGCATAAGACTATTTTAACGTATTCACCAAAAAAGTGAAACAATAATTATACCTTATGATAAATCCATGGCAACATGGCATATTGTTATAGTATTAATATTTTTCAATATAAAATATTACAAATGCTACTAACTGCATATTTACTGATGTGAGTGGGATTGTTTATTTGCTCCAAATCTGTCTCCGCTATTTCTGTCTCAAGTGCTTTTCAATGTAAGCATTAGCTTGTATCTGATTTAACAAAAATGTGTAAGTTTTACTTTTCCTTCCTCTTTCATTATGAATGTATGTATATAAATATAATTACATAAAAATCTGGTTTTAACAAAATTATTTTGTTTTAATGTTTATGTTTGAGGGTGAAAATGTTAAGCACTTAGGCAAAGTCTGGTTTAACACTCCAATTACAAGAAATATACATGTCCGTCTAAGTCAGTTTCTGAATATAATTGTTGTTGATCAGGTAAATATAGCGTATTAAATGGCTGGACTGGATGGCACAGCTATCAGCTCAAGAAGGGTATTCACACTGAGTGGTGTTGCTAGTTCTTTAATTGCTAACATAATTTTCCAGGCTACAAAATAGCTATTTACCTTGTCATTTTATAATGACGAGTAGTTTTTATTTGCTTTATCATTTGATATTTTATTTGTCAAGATTGGTTTTTGTTCATATTTGTTATGCTGCCATTACACCAACAGATATTGTTAAAAAAATGTACGTTTCCAAAATATTTGAATTAGCTTCTGAATTATTTCAAATTTATTGATGTAAGTAACCATTTTTCTTAACCTGTGAAATGTTTTAATGCAATTTATTCAATAGCAATGAAAGATGGACTTACACTTTTGTGCTATATGTGAATGTGTGAATCTTACGTTTTAAACTGTGGTATTTGTTTTATGATTATCCTTAACATTGATAGATTTTTGTTCACACTTCCCAAATATCCTATGTTTGTTGGGAAGAATATCAACCCTTATAGTCTAATATGCATAAGTTAATGTTCGATAAACATTATTAATGCACTTCAAAATCTAGAATTTTTCATAAAGTTGTTTTGGACTGTTAATATTTTACATTGATTAAATTTGAGCAAATCATTTATTAATGTAAATTATTGAAGATTATTTTGTCATGTTCATAATTACAGGAATATGTCTGTAGACAGTTGTATAAAGTAAAGAGAGCCTTTGTTTCCAATATCAATATAAAAATATATACAAATAATACAGGATAATGTGCGTAAAGGATTAATTAAATATTTTGTTCTCATGGAATCCCACAGCTTTAAACTTTTATTTTAAGAATACTTATTAAAATAATGAGCTGAATGCAGAAAAGCAGAACTTTATATGGACTGTATGCATAAGAGCACTGATTGAGAACAAAGTGTTTGCATTGAAGGGTTACCTGCCAACACATAAACACTCTGCTCCTCAATCAGTGATCTTCTCTATATACTCAGTGCAAAGTTCGGCTTTTGTGTATTTAACAATTGAACTGTCAACGGAGACAAATAAAGCGTGATTTCTATTTTTTCAAAGCTTGAATTTTCAGAATCATTTATTCCACACTTTTTTGCAATGGGCTAATTTTATGTGTGCCTGTTTTCTTTTTAATACAAAATGTACCCCCTTTAACCATTCCTTCCAGCAAATGATGTGGCTTTCAAAGAAAAGAATTTATTAATGAGTTGTGCCCTTTTTTATATATACTTACTGGCATATAAGTATGATTGTTTCTGACAAGTCGTTTTAAAGATGTGGTTCCTGCATACTATGATTATTAAATGAATTTGGTTATTTTATTGTGAAATTTGAATATCGAATAATGACGTGCCCTGAAATGTACAAACAAAATTTCCGCTTTTGCTGAAGTAATTTAGGGTTTTGGCTCAGTGATACATAGTGTTACATTTTGTGAATGTGTATGAAAGGTTAATTATACCATTCTATTTCTGCTTTGTTAAATCCAATCAGTTCTATAAATCAAGAATAATAATACTGACTGCCAGAGATAACCCTTGTGCCAGGAATGGTTAGCTGCACTATCTTAATGCCATCTACTGGTTACTTAGTTCTATTGCACAAAATGCCAAAGTTATTGAAAAATTTGTACGCAAAATACTCATTAAAGCTATCCTCTCAAGTAAATCTACCATTTACAATATTTAAATTCTTTAAAGCGATTTTCTACTTATGTTACATACATGCAGTCCCTGCTTTCCAGGGCATTTACCTTCCATTTTTCAAACCGCACTTTTTCTGCTCTGATTATTATGGAGTGAAGGTTATTTTCTCCATATGGTTATACATGTAGTAAAAATAAAGCAGCGAGTGCATCTTACCAAAAATATTCCTGGATCGAACTAACATACTTTGTGTGATATTTATTCAGTTTTAGAAATTTGATAATTATATACAATAAATCAGTATATATGACAAATATATGTATATTGAATTTTTTTATATATACATATATACACGTATATACCTTTTCAGTTGTACAATAAAAGCACATTTGTACTTAAGTGGAGTTGGCGTACCTATTTAGTCTCCAAACCACTGAAGGGGACTTCATCAACATTGAAGGTTTGAAAAACTGTTTTGCAATACACAACACAATTTGTAATAAAATGTTGTTGAGTTGTGGAAGTCATTGCCACTTGCACATGAGGCAACAACTAGAATGAATGTTTTGTGCTTCTCTTTCAGAATGGCAACATTCCCAGTTTACACGTTGCAAATGACTCTTGGCACCATATGGTAACACTGAAGTCCAATTTGCTGTATATCATGAAATGATTTAATAAGAAATATATAATTATTGAACATCTAAAATGATAAATCCTTTAAGAATCCAATCTAACATTCAGTTTTTAGACATTTGATAATTATATACAATAAATCAGTTTATAGGAGATATAGATTTATATTTAAATCAAAATTAGAAACCATTGTCTCCTAGTGACTAACATAGGAACTTGAGTACCTGTATTCCTCTTGGAATACATTTTAAATATGTGTGATGGCTGTTCAGGCATCAAAAAACAAGTGTCCCATAAAATGTTTGTTCTCTGCTTACAATACACTTCATTCAATGGTGGGCAGTCGCTAAAAACGTTTAGCAACAAAATCTATATAAGGGAGGGAAAGTGGAAAAATCTCCATTGTGTGCCCCAGGAAGGTTATATATAATAATAATACTTGCATTTGATATTGCGCTGTATCACATTTTCGAGGCGTCTCAAAAATCTTCACAGAATATACTGCAAAGTGAATTGACTATTTTGTGGGCGAAATTTTTTTCCCCAAATTTCTGAAAATTAGTAAACCTGTTTGGAGGATGAATACAGATAGTTTATTTTTAAATCATTGTTTTCAACTTTTTATATTTCTAATTCATTATGCTTCTGTTTAAATTACAATTCTAAATTGCAGTTAAAATGCCAGCCATTTGTTACTGGAGCTGCTTAATCTTTCAATGAAAGAATCATCAAAGCTTCAAAAGAGTTTGTCAAATATACTGAGCGTTCTTTTCCATGGATTTTTCTTTTCCAAAGACACAAAGATAATAAAGCAGCAATGTAGACTCGTATGGTTTAGGTTTGATTAATCATTTGCTTTGAGGTTATCAAAGTAATTCTAAAACTCCAGACTATTTCATATTTATTTCTTTTAAATACGTGAGAAAACATGGAACAAGAAAATGCCACTGGATCCATCAAGTTTGCTCCTTCAACAAATGTTAGGATAGCTCAGTGTGTCGCACACTGATGTTCCAAAGCTTTGGCAAAAGTCTCGCCATTAAGAGAGAAACTCCACATACGAAAGCAACTCCTTCTGTTTTCCAGTCTTGGCTGCAAACATGAAATGTTATAGTTGTATCTCGTAGCCTCACTCACTCCCCATCCCTTTCAAGTACTCACTCAACCTTTGTTTCAATGAAAACTGATTCAATCAAACTGAACCCAGAAGCTATAACCCCAGAACCGTGCCGATTGCATCTCTTTGAAGCAAAATGCCTATTGAAGGTAGAATACCCCAAACTGCACATACTGTATGTAAAATGCGCCCTTGCTAATAATCTATACTTGCTTAGAATACCTTGCTTTAGCTTTTAAAATTCACTGTATAACGTACAGCTTCACATTGATTGAATGCTTTCAGTTTGTATATTAGAGGGGTATTTCTACAAGTAGTAGCTCTGCAGTATCTGAGGCAGCCAGTGTTGTGGGATTTGACCAGTTCACACTGCTTCCTTTAATAAAACTTACTGGGGAAAAAAGTGTTTTGGCTGTTTAAACACTACATATTGCAAAATTGTTGCAGAGTTAGATTTGCTGCTTTATTTATCATAACCAGATATGTTGTTTTGTTAGCAGCCAGGACCTTTCATTCTCAAGCGTTTACTTTCATCTGGTGTCCTAATGGAAGCTTTGAAGTTTGTGTTTTTTTCTTTGATTTCATTTTTATTTATCTTGTGCTTTCTGCCTGTCCTTGAACAGAAAGCTTGCTACCTTTATCTGCAAATTATAAATCTGGTTTAAATGTGACTTTTCTTAAATATGGATTGCCATTCAAAAGTAAGCATACTGGGAGGCACCCATACATACATAACAACCTCAGCTTTGCTTTAGCCAACATATGAGAAGTTGAGCTTGTTTATATAAGCTACACTAAACACTTTCCTTAAAGAGACTTGAGTTAAAAAGATTTATCATTTTAAAAATGTGTAAGGACTATATAACGCAGTGCATTGCAAAATAATTCATCTTCACAAATCCTCTTATGCTCATACAACAGTTACAGGATTATGCTTTTCTCAGCTAGCCCAAATGAGACAAACTGCTCAGCCGTTCACACAGACTTCAATTATTGGTGTATTTTCATCTAGGGATAATTGTTTTTTATACTATCTTCCATTGGCTCCAACTGAGGATTTTGGTAATCAGTTTTTTTTTGCATTAACTTTTAAAGCAACATTACCAATCTAGCTTAGTGGTTAGAGCACTCGCCTTGCAAGTGACAGACCTCGGTTTGATTCCCGGTAAGGTGAAACATTGAGCAAGTTTCCTTACTCCACATGCCTACCTAGCAGTAAGATAGGAACCCGTTGGTCGTCGATTGCCAGATCACTTTTCCAGGGATAATAATTCCTTCAAAAAAATAATAAGTCGGTCACTTCAATCCACGATTGTTTGTGAGACGCTGCTGTGCGCAATTGGCTGTTGCGTTTTGCCCACAAAATATAGTCAATTCGCTTTACAGTATATTCTGTGAAGCACTTTGAGACGTCTTGAAGATGTGATAAGATGCTATATCAAATGCAAGAATTATTTACTACTTCCAAATTTGCATTGTGTTTGGCCATAAGATACTATTCAAGGGATATTAGAAGCTGAACCCATGTTGTTATAGCTTATTACTCAGGAATAAATAGTGTCTGGGAAGAAGTGAACTGGTTGATTTAAACTATTGTCTTTAACTTAGACTGAAGGTCCATAGTGCAGGACACCACCAAAGTTGAAATACGTGAGAGAGAAGATACAAAACTAACTTGCATTTATATAGTGCCCTTCATGTGGTGCAGCACCTCGGAGCCTTTAACAATAGCGGAGCATGACACCAAGCTGTGAGGAGGGATGAGGTGATCGTAAGCACGGTCGAAGAGGAAGGTTTTCAAGCGTGATCTGAAAATGGAGAAGGAGGAGGGCAAGCAGATGGATTGAGGGAAAGAGTTCCAAAATTTCGGAGCATGGTGGCTGAAAGCACGGCCGCCGAGGGTGGAGCGGAGTGAATGATGGGGAGTAAGCGAAGAAGAGAGGTGTCAGGGTGTGAAGGGATTTGTAGATGAACGTGAGGATTGTGATGTCCATCAGTTCGGTTACTGCATGTTTTATCCCATTGAGCCTTTTTTTTAATCCAATTGTTCAGTTATTTTCTACAGTTGGTGTACATGAGATAAAGATGAGGTGAATCAAGAAATGGTAGTAAGCTTGAGTTGTGAAAGTCATGAGAATTTGAGTAGTAAACATTCAACTGTGTTGAACTCTTAGGAAATAATTAAGATTAGATTTTGCTTGTTTTTTTTATTTCAACACAGGGAAGAAGAAATGAAGAGTGTTTAATATTTTGAGCTTGGAAGCAACAGAGGAAAATTCCGAGGAGCTACGACTGAGTATTTTTGTAGAATGTATGCTATGACAAGCTCCTGTACTTTACCACTTTAACATTCATACTTGTGATTGAGCAATAAATTTGTACATTACTGTATGTTCTATTCCTTTGAGCGTTTTTAATCCAATGCGAAAACCCATTTTCTACAGTTATCGCACACGTTTTAAAAAAAAGCAACTCTTGATTCATCATATTTCTGCATTTCATAATTTGTCCCCTGCTTACTGCGGTAAGAATTCTTGGATGAAGCAAAGTTATAATAACCTAATGATGAATAACATCAACCTTTTTCTTAAAAACAAAAACGCTTCAGATAAGAATATCTGACATAGTAAAACAATTGTGCTAAGTGATTGCTGGACCCTTCTTAAAAAAAATCCAAAGGTTAACCAAGCCCTTTTTCTGTTTTGCTTTAAATCTCTATTTGCAGAAACAGGATTGTGTAGTTTTGCATGTCACTCGTGTGATGCTGTCACCCTCCAAATAGATAGATGATGTGCCTCTGAAGTTTGAAATTCAAAACTTCCTTCTGTTTTTGAAAAGAGGAGGGAGTTTCTCCTAGAATTCTGGCCAATATTCCCCCAGATAAAAATAGTCATCACCGCATTCCTGTTTCTGGGACAATGTTGCGCACAAATTGACTGCAGTGTTCGCCTACAATGACTTAACTTTATAGTGAATGCAATGAAGCAATTTGAAACATCTTCCTGAAGTGAAAGATGCTATATCAAATTATTCACCAGCAGGTTTCATTATTGCCAGCAGGGTGACCATTAATTGAACAATCTAAATGGGCAACAATCTAAATGTTTAGTTATGTGGATTTCATTGCAATTCATTGAAGCCAAGGTAATCATCTTCAATATCCTACTGATTTTGAAAGCTGGTTCAGGGATGCGTGTGTCAAAAATAAGCCCAGTCTTTTTAACATATGAATTTTCAACACTCTAAAATTAGAAATTAAAAATTTGAATTGACACAGTGTTTCTGGAAAATGTTAGCTATTCCCAGTTATATACTCAGAAAACAGTTAAAAAAACACCCTAAATCCCCCCAAAATATACAGTCAATTCACTTTGCAGTATATTTCATGCAGCTCTTTGAGAAGTCTCGAAGATGTAATAAGGTGCAAGGATTATAATTATTGTATGCTCAGCTGATATAAGAATACAACTCTTGACCTTTTGTGTTTACAGAGTCAGTGTGCTTAGCCTTATGAGGATGGTCACTGCTCCTTTTTTCTGTCAGACCGAGACTTGGAATTGAGTCAATATTTTCCAAATATTGTTTGGTAGCTGTCTTGCTTTATCTGATATTCTTGAGGTACAGTATTTCATCTTGATTTACTTGAATTTTTTTAAAATATGTATCTTACGTGACATCTTAAAAGGGACAACCCCAACCCAAGTTGATTCTAGCAAATATCAAAATTATTTCTTTTTGAAATAGCCTTTCTACTATGTGTCGAATATCTATAAAATATTCTGTCATAATATAATGAGGCGATAATGAGCTGAAAGATCTATAACAACCGATTTTGAGCTCAACAATGAGTTAAACAGTGCACAGGAGTAGGTTTTGTGAATGCTCGTTTATCAGCCTTGAAGATAGCAACAGAACCATTCCGTCAATTCAATCAAGTCACTCGAGAGGCACACAGAGATAAACGGTGCGTTTCAGTTGCAATATAGAATTATGCTGCACGCAGGCTAATTAACCTTTAGACAAAATTGGAAGTTGATCTCGAGTCTAGAGGAGCTCAACAGGTAACTTGAAACGAGGCTTGCGGAAGAGCGCTGAGGTACACAAATGCTTGCTAATAAAACTGGAAGTCATTCTTCTACTAAAGTACAACTTATTTTATGGCTGCCAGTATAGAACTGGCCTTTTTAAGTATCTGGTAACAATATGGCCACGTTGGGGGAAGAGAGGCAGGATGCCAAGTTTATAACTCACAGCAGGAAGTATTTCTGGATTCGTTTAAGAAACAATTTGAAGGTAGGATTAGTATTCTGGAAAGATGAGATCAATTGAAAGAGCTTTTTCATCCAAATCTCTTGTGCAGTGTGAGGCTGTGCTGCACAAGAGTCAGAAAGAAACTTTTGGATGTGATGTGATTTCTTAGAAGAATTGCTAACACGTTATTTTGGGTTCGCTTTGCAATGATTCCAGGATTATATCACACCATGTAGCTCTCCACTTGATATGCCACAGTTACAACAAGAAGCTTGCTTTATTTAGCAATGGATCACAAGTTTATCAGAGTTTTAAAACAAATTGGGGGTCGGCCGGGTGTTTGACACATGCGGAAACCCATCACCATGCTTAAGTGTATGCAAACCAAGCTGAGATTTCCATGCATCCCACCAACACATGGAAATCCCAGAGATAGATTGTTGGGATGGAATGTACACTCTCTCCCTGGAGGAACTCATCCTGCTTCCCTAATTCCGGAAATATTAGGCACAGATTGGCAAGAGCCAAGGCTGGGGGATCCCAGAGTGTGCGTTGGGGTACTTCTGGAGTCTAACCAGCTAAAACCGCATAGCGTGCCATTAAAATTGCTGTCTGGCAGGCTTTCCTGCTGCTTGTCCAGCTAAAACCACCCTACTCATTAGAGCTTTGACTCTCTTCCCCCTGTGACTGGTCTGCCCTTCCAGGTCCTGCCCATGAGCCAGGTTGGCTGTGCTGTCATCAACAACAACAACAAAATTACATTTATAGAGCGTCTTTCATGTCAGGAGGACGTCCCAAAGCACTGAACAGTCAGATGTCGGGGCCCGAGCATGGGGGAGGGGTGCTGTAGGGGTGAGGGAAGGCAGAGAGGTGGGAGGGAGACCAAAGGCACGGTCGAAGAGAAGGGTCTTGAGACCGGCCTAGAAGGAGGCAAGGGAGGAAGCGAGGCAAAGGGACCGCGGGATGGAGTTCCAGAGTGTGGGAGCAGAGAGGCTGAAAGCCCGGCCACCGATGGTAGGGCGGGTCGGGTGGGAGACATGGAGCAGGCTGGAGCCTAATGAGCGGAGGGAGCGGGCAGGTTGGTAGGGAGTCAGCAGGTCAGAGAGGTAGGAGAGGGCAAGGCCATGAATGACCTTAAAGGCAGTATCCTAGAATACTGCGGACCCACTTGGTTCAGGAACTGGACTATCAAGATCGCCACAATTCCGACATTCCATTGCCAGGCATCTTGGAGTCAGTTCAGCTCTAAGGTGATCCCGCTAACCTCCCACCCAAGGAGAATAATCAGAAGAGTTAAAGACTCCTCTTGGTAATTGTTTATCTCTCCCATTGTGACTGGGATGCAGCAATCAGACTCTGAGGCATTATTTACACCTGGGAATAATAACTTGTCAACTGTAATAATCGCTGGTAATCGTGCTATTCTCAAGAGTTAATGCTGGAATTTTTGGAACAAGTACAAAGTCAATCAAATAAAGAACATTAAGCTGAACTCTCTCAGGCACACAACACTTTAGGTATTAAGAACATCATTACAACAAAGGTAAGAATTAATTCAGGGGTTTGTACACTCTAAAACTAAATCTGTGCAAAACTTGTTAGTGGCAATACAATCATTCTTTTTAAACTATTAATTATCTTATTAATAAACACATGTGTTGTAAGTGCCTGACATCCTTTGCAATTAACTTATCTCTTAATACCAGGCTTGCTTTGGGGTTCTTTTGTGAATGTATTGTATGGCAATAGCAGCTGGTTATGTCCATGATGAATGAGATTCTGATACTTATTTTCATTCCATTAAAATGTGCAGAAAAATAGTGGCTTTTTACATAGGTGCGTTTCTCATAAATAAGCTTCCCACCGACAGGGGGAAAAAAAAGTTTAATACCTTGCATTCAATATTTTCTGCAGATCATTGCTTAAATCACACAAACACTGTAGCTTCACCTCTGTTCGATAGCATTCTAAATGTCATAAGGCAATAAAAATATCAGTGATTTTTNAAATATATATATATCATCTGTTCGTGAATTTCTTCCATGCAGAATTTTAAATGGACCTACCATTCATGAACTGAACAAGGATGTTGAGGTAATTGGTGCTATATGAAAAGGGTTGTTCTTTGACAATGTTTCTGTTTTGTTCTCTCAACTTTGTACTCTCAGCAACCATCAGTGTCAGTTTCATAAGTTATCTATCCCCGAGTTGCCTTTGGCTGCACCCTGATGATTTGACCTCCAATAGACAAAATAAGCTAGAATGAGTAACTTGCCAAGTTTTGCAAAGTGCTTTATACTTTAGCGCTTAAAGTAAAGCAGTTTGTTGCTCCTAAATAACACGATAGTACTGAAACATCTGCAGTGTTCAGAATAAAGCCATTTTGCAAAATGGCCAAGGGATACATTTTGGCCTCAGACACAAATCACGCATGTTTTGATTGGATCGTCAGTGGGTAAATATAATTTATGAACCAAACTAACTCTCAAATCATGATGTTATATGGACTGAGATCACAAATATGTTTCTGGAAAATACCAAAGATTTTGAAGTTCAAAGGTACCTTTCATTTTATACTGGTGCTCTCTTTCAAACCGGTTAACCAGATTTATTAACAGTGTCAAAGTATACATTGAATAGGAGAATTACGTAAGTAAATAATAATAATAGTAATCATTGAATGGAATACAGCATCTTTCCCATTTCAAGGTTGTTCACGGGATTTACTGTAAATTGTAGTGATAGTGTGTTTTGGAGGTGAATACGGCCTATTGAAATGAACATGAAATTTACCATTTTGTTTTGAGAAAGAAATAAAATGGAAAGAAGTTGCTTCAGGTTTGACCAAGATGATGCACTAATTATGCACTTACGGACACTTAATATCTAGAATCTGCAATGTACTATTACAATGTACTTGAATCCGCAATGCACACCATTGCTGCATATTTAGTGCATATTGAGGCAACAACGTAGTTGTGATTACTTGGATCAAAATTTTACTGACTGGTCAAAGAATCTGTACGAGAAACACCTGGACAAAAAGAGCAAATTAGTCTCATTAAGCCAGATCATAGACATTATCCTATCCTGTTTCCTCCGTTTAATTACTCCTTGATCACCAAAAGTATTTGAGC